AAGAAAAGAAAAGAGAAAAGGGAAAGAAAAGGGAAAGAAAAGGGAAAAGAAAAGAAAAGGGAAAAGAAAAGAAAAGAAAAGAGAAAGAAAAGAAAAGAAAATATATTTTTCTAAATAAAATAAAATAAAGATAAAACAGACATCATCCAAAACCACAGGAAGGCTGGTTGAATGGAAATTCTGCAACTAGAAGGAAAGAGAAAAGCACAGAGACTCAGAGGAGCTGAGGAAGGCAAAAGTACGGAGGCTCATGCTCAGAGAGGGCTGGAAACTGAGTATATGGCTAGCACTCTCAACTGGGAGGGAGACAAAAGCTCCTGACTGCACTGAACTCCAGTTCCACACGAGACTCTGGGGACCCAGACTTATATGGGAAGAAACTGGACTGTCTGGCATCAGGCGAAACTCGAGGGCGGCTTTCTCTCAGAGGTGCTTGCAGCAATTACCGTGGGACACTGAGACCCAGGGGCCTCTTAGGGCAGGGCTGACTGGAAGCCATTGCTTCTTGCTCTGCCCTGAGATCCCGCCCCATCCAAGCTGAGCGCAGAGGCTTTTGCATATGAATGGTCTGGTCCTCTGAATTCTAAACTTACCTAATAAACTGCAGCTGAATCGGTGAGTCCCAGAACATCCAAAAGAAGGCCCAAGGCCCCACAGCAGCTTGCATTGCTTCACAGCTGGGCCTCATCTGGGCACCTCCAAAACCCAAACAAAGAAGAGGAATCTGCAGATCTCTCCATAGCTCCAGCTGAGTGGCCTCAGGCAGAAGCTAAATTAGCACCTCCTTGGAGATCCAAGAGCTAGTATACCCAGGGGTCAGAGTAAGACCATACAGATTACAACTCCTCAGGTCCATAAGGACACACTCAGGGGGCAGACTCAGTGAGCACCAAGGCCCCACTGAAGCAAGTTTTGTCTTATAAGGGTGTCTCCAGCACAGAAGTTCTCCCAGCATAGACACAACTGATCCTCACAGCCAATTGCCTTGAAATCAATTCCTCCCAGTGATACTAACAACAATCAAGGCTTAACTACAAGAAGACTGTGCACACAACCCACAAAGGGATGCACCAAGAGTGTCCACCTCAGGTAACGGGGGAGACCCTATAGGGGCTTAGCACACAAAGCTACTCTATCAACTCAGGGAAGCAGCCAAAATGCGGAGACAAAGAAACAGGTCACAAATGAAAGGAGGAAAGCAAACGATTGGATATAGAGTTCAAAACCACAATTATAAGGTTTTTCAAGAATTTCCTAGAAAAGGCTGATCAATTACGAGATCCTCAAGGATATGTAAAAGGACCAACTAGAAATTAAACATACACTGACTGAAATAAAAAATAATATACAGAGATCTAGCAGCAAACTATCGGGTCTAGTAATAATTAATGTCGTTTTTCAACATTCGTTTAAAATCTTGCTTGGCGTTGACTTGTATTGACATAACCTTCAAACACGTGGTATCTACAGAATGTGTGAAGTGCAATTAACAAGTTTTGCTTGAAAAAGTTTGTGTTTGGTTTGGTTTTTGTTGCAAAACTAGGGCTAAGAAGATGACGGATGAAAAGCATATTTGGCACTGCATGCTTTACGAGTTCCAATTAGGAAGAAAAGCAAGTGAGGCTGCAAAAAACATCTGTAGTGCTCTTGGTCAAGATGCAGTTAGCGCCAGAAAATGCCAGCGTTGGTTTGAGAAATTTCGCGAGGGAAATTTTTCGTTAGATGACAAGAGTGGTCGAGGCCGTGTGTCCAATTTTGATCAAGAAGCTCTTCAAGCTCTTTTGGTGCAAAATCCTCAAATTACCCAACAAGAGCTTGCGACAACTTTAAATTGTTCACAAAAAACAATTTCCAGTCAATTGTGGGCACTTGGCAAAGTCCAAAAGTTTGGAAAATGGGTTCCTCATGAGTTGACCGACAACAACCGTAATCAAAGAGTCACAATTTGCAGTTCGCTCCTCTCTCGTCAAAACCGTTTGCCGTTTTTAGAGAAAATTGTTACCGGAGATGAACAATGGGTGCTGTATGTTAATTTGAAAAGGCGGCCTCAATGGTTGGACAAAAATGAGGCTCCGCAGCCCACGCCAAAACCTGACTTACATGCGAAAAAAGTGATGTTGTGTGTTTGGTGGAATTTTAAAGGAATTCTTCATTATGAACTTTTACCATCTAACCAAACCATTACAAGTGCAGTGTATAGTGCCCAATTGGAAAGGTTAGCCCAAGCTTTAAGAGAAAAAGAACCCGCGCTGATTAATCGGAAGGGCGTAATTCTTCACCACGATAACGCACGACCGCATACTGCAAGAATCACTGCTGAAAAACTGCGCCAGTTGGAATGGGAAGTTCTCCCTCAACCTGCATATTCTCCTGATATTGCCCCTTCCGATTACCATTTGTTTCGTTCTTTGCAAAACTTTCTTCTTGGAAAAAAATTTAATAATGAAGAATGCCTCAAAAATGCATTGACCGAATTTTTTGCATCAAAATCACAAGAATTTTACAACAGAGGGATTAAAATGCTTCCTGAGCGTTGGGCACAAGTAGTAGAAAACAACGGCAACTATATTGTTGATTAAATTTTGTTGTATTGTTTAAATAAATTCGATTTAAAAAAATATTAGAAAACGACATTAATTATTACTAGACCTAACAGAGGATCCTAAGAATCAAGTCAAAGATTTGAAATACAAAAAAGCAAAAAACAACCAAACAGAAAACCAAAAAGAATCCAAAAATATGAAGATAGTGTAAGGAGCTTCTGGGGCAACTTCAAGTGTACCAACATCAGAATTATGGGGTGCCAGAAGAAGAGAAAGAACAATATACTGAAGAAATAATGACAGAAAACTTTCCCCACCTGGTGAAAGAAATAAACTTAAAAGTACAGGAAGTGCAGAGAACCCCAAACAAAGGGAATCCAAAGAGGACCACATCAAGACACATCATAATTAAAATGCCAAGGGCAAAAGACAAAGAGAGAATGTTAAAAGCAGCAAGAGAAAAAAACAGCTAGTTACCTACAAGAGGGTACCCATACAACTGTCAGCTGATTTCTCTTTAGAAATTATGCAGGCCAGATGAGAGTTGCGAGAAATATTCAAAGTGATGAACAACAAAAACCTACAACCAAGATTACTCTACCCAGCAAAGCTATCATTCAGATTGAAGGTCAGATAAAGAGCTTCACAGACAAGAAAAAGCTAAATAAAGGAGTTCATGCCGGGACTGGTTTGGCTCAGTAGATAGAGCATCCGCCTGTGGACTGAAAGGTCCCAGGTTCGATTCCAGTCAAGGGCATGTACCTTGGTTGCGGGCACATCCCCAGTGGGGGGTATGCAAGAGGCAGTTAGTCGATATTTCTCTCATTGACGTTTCTAACTCTCTGTCCCTCTCAATTCCTCTCTGTGTAAAATCAATAAAATATATTTTTTAAAAATAAATAAAGGAGTTTATCACCACCAAACCAGTATAATATGAAATGCTGAAACGTATTCTATAAGAAGAGGAAGAAGAAGAAAAAGGTAAAGATAAAATTATGAACAACAAATACATATCTATCAACAAGTGAATCTAAAAATCAAGTGAATAAAAAATCTGATGAAAATAATAAAATGGTGAATATAAAAGAATCAGGGGCATAGAAAGGGAGTGAACTGACAATTCTCAGGGGAAAGGAGTATGGGGATGCAGGAAGAGACTGGACAAAAAAAAAAATTTTTTTTTGGACAAAAATCTTACACCTATGGATGAGGACAGTGGGGAGTGGATAAAGGCAGAGGGTGGGATGGGAACCAGATGGAGGGGAGCTATGGGAGGGGAAAAAGAGGAACAATTGTAATAATCTAAACAATAAAGACTTATTAAAAAAGAAAATGAAACAGCAAAAGGACCTATAGAAAGCTCATTTGTTTTCAACCCTATTTCTCCTTTACCATCATTAGCATTTAAACAAACTCTTTGGGGATGAGGAGTACAACAATGGTTAGGGAACTAAAAAATAAATGGTTCGGCTTCAAGGATGTGGGATAAGGAATGCAGTACAGCACCTACCACCCCGGGGAATTGAGGCAAAGCTGAACATTCTCACTTAAAGCAAAAAAAGTAAAGGTAGTATAAGGAAGGCAGGGCAGTTCCTAGGGTGCACATGCTTTGAGGGGTGGTATTAGATGACTGAGGAGTTGGGGGTGGCTTGCAATGAAGAAGTGTGTGTAAGGTTCATACCATCAGGAGGCCTTGGCCCTGTCCCTGATCCTCCTTCTCCATTGCCCTATTCCAGCTCCTCAGAATCCCAGTCTTGGCCTTGGGCTTTCTGCCTTCTCCACTATTTCTGTGTTCCTAGTCTCAGGAGCCACCAATAAGAATTAGGAGAAGGTGGTACCAAGAATGTGCTTCTGGCACTCAAGCATGAACAATCACGTAAAGAATATTTCTGCAAGAAAACAGGTTTTTTCCAAACAACTCACGGTTATACAGAAACTATTGTAGCAAAACTGGATGTAAAGTTTTGCTACAAAGGCAAAAAGGCTTTTACTGCCACAATCTCAGGAAGCGCTCAGATGACTGTTTAATAAATCATATTTATTCAATGAATTTTCCATGCTTGAGAAATTCCTTTGGTCTGACTTCACTGGTTCTCAGAAATAAGAAAGACACTGACAACTAGTCAGTGGATGCCCCTACCCTCATTACTCCAAGTGGTGGTCCCGGGGCTGGCTGCATCTGCAGCACCTGGGACCTTAGCAAGCAGAACCTGCCTTTTAAAAAAAAATTTTTTTTTTTTAAATCCCTGTGCAATTAGCATGACATTAAAGTCGGAGAAGCACTGCCTTAGTAGTTTGCTATACACAAACCTTTCCAATCCCCAACTCCAGTCTCCACGTCAGCATGGGAAACGAAGGAGCGTGTACCCTGCACGGTGCCAGCCTTGGACCCGCCGTGGGGTTGGGGCACCTGTCATCCCGGAGTCCCTCCCGGGAGACGCTCCTCCACCCGCTCACCTTGATGCGCTCCCCGTCGATCTCCACGGCTCGCTCTCGGAAGTCCACGCCGATGGTGGCCTCGGTGCGGTCGGGGAAGCGGCCCGCACAGAAGCGGTAAGTCAGGCAGGTCTTGCCCACGTTGGAGTCGCCGATCACGATGATCTTGAAGATGCGGGAGCGCGCCGGCGGCAGGAACGCGGAGGAGCTTGTCAGCGCTCCGCTGGCCGTGAAGCTCGCCTCCAGCGACGACTCCATCTCCGAAGCCATTCTCCGGACCCGCCCCGAGGGGAGGCGGAGGGGAGGCGGCGCAGACCCGCGTGGAAGTTACGCCACCGGAGCGACGGAGCAAGCCGGCGAGCTGCGAGCGCGATCAGCCCGCCGGCGGCGCCGCGCAACGTCGCTGGAGCCACCACACCTCCCGCCCCGCCCCGCCCAGCCGCGCAGGGGAGGCGCCCACCGCCCGGCCCGCGGCTCCACCCCAGCGACCCCCGGGCCGGCGCCCGTCCCTCCGGGGAGCTCGAGTCCTGTCGGGGACCTGACCGTGGCGCGCAAGGCGAGCCTGCCGAGGGCCACGCGGGGCGGCCCAGGCCCAGCACCCTGGAGGCCTCCGCCCTCGGAGGAAGCGGTGCAGTCTGGGGGCGGAGAGAGGCTGCGGAGGGGGAGGAGGCACCGCCCGGCTCTCTCGCGAGAGGGCGCAGGGCCTCTCGGGCCGGGGGCGCGCGCCCGGGGCGGGTCTGCGAGGAGGTCGCGGAGCTCGGGCGCCGGGAGGGCCACAGTGGTCGGCGCGCTGCTGAGGTCCCCGGGGCCGCAGGTGGGGGCGCCGGCTGCGCTCCCCTCCTCCTCCCGCTGGCTGTCTCGGGGCAGCGACCGGGACTGGAGCGGGCGGGGTTGTCAACTCTGAAAGCTCCTTGTTATTCAGCAAATGACGAATAAATTAATGGAGAAATTTTTTTCTGTAAGGATTGTCAATTTGAACCCTTTACCAGTTATAAGCAGTGTAGCACCGTTTGTGGCCAAGAAACATGAAAATATGCTCAATCGCTGATGATCAGAGATGCAAATTAAAATGACAATGAGGTATCACCTCATACCTTCAGAATGGTTACCATTGAATGTCAAGTGCTGGCGAGGATGTAGAGAAAAGGGAACTCCAGTACACTGTTGATGGGGATGCAGACTGATGCAGCCATTATGGAAAACAGTTTGGAGTTTCCATAAAAATTAAATATGGGCCCTAACTGGTTTGGCTCAGTGGATAGAGCGTCGGCCTGCAGACTGAAGGGTCCCAGGTTCAATTCCGGTCAAGGGCATGTACCTTGGTTGTGGGCACATCCCCAGTTAGGGGGTGTGCAGGAGGCACAGCTGATTGATGTTTCTCTCTCATTGATGTTTCTAACTCTCTATCCCTCTCCCTTTCTCTCTGTAAAACATCAATAAACTGTATTTTTTTTTAATTAAATATGGACCTGCCATTGATTCCACTTCTAGGAATATATCCTAAGAAACCCAAAACGCCAATCAGAAAGGATGTATGCACTCCTATGTTCATAGAAGCACAATTTACAATAGCTATCTGGCCGAAACTGGTTTGGCTCAGTGGATAGAGCATCGGCCTGCGGACTGAAAGGTCCCAGGTTCGATTCCTGTCAAGGGCATGTACCTTGGTTGTGGGCACATCCTCAGTAGGAGGTGTGCAAGAGGCAGCTGATGGATAATTCTCTCTCATCAATGTTTCTAACTATCCCTCTCTCTTCCTCTCCGTAAAAAAATCAATAAAATATATTATTAAAAAAAATAGCTAAGATCTGGAAACAGCCCAAGTGCTCATCAGTAGATGAGTGGATAAGAAAGCTGTAGTACATTTACACCATGGAGTATTACGCAGCAGTAAAAAAGTATTGTATATCTTACTCTTGGAGATGGCATGGAGGGACCTGGAGAGCATTATGCTAAGCGAAATTAGCCAGAGAAAAACAAGTGTCACATGTTCTTACTCATATGTAGAATCTAATGAACAAAATAATCTGTTGAACAAAATAGATCCAGAGACATAGAAGCATGGAACAGACTGTCGAATCTCAGAAGGAAGGCAGAGGTGGGTAGAGATCAACCAAATAATTTGTATGCATATATGGGCACAGACAATAAGATGATGGAGGCCTGGGGCAGGGATGGGTTATAAGTGGTCAATGGGAGAGAAAAAGGGAAATAAGTAATACTTTGAATAAAAAGTTTTAAAAAAAACAAAAACAAAAAACTTTGGCCTGGCTGGTGTGGCTTGGTGGTTGAGCATCAATCTATGAAACAGGCGGTCACAGTTAAATTACCGGTCAGGGCACATGCCCAAGTTGTGGGCTCTATCCCTTGTGGTGGGGTGCAGGAGGCAACCAATAAGTGATTCTCTCTCATCACTGATGTTCCTATTTCTCTCTCCTCTTTCCCTTCCTCTCTGAAATCAACAAATAGATATTAAAATGACAACAACAGGGTATTGTCAAAACTCTGGACATCTTTGTTAACTTTTCCTTCTCCATTCACTACCCACTTTCTTCCAACACAGTCAGCTGATGTAACAGCTTCTTAGTATCTCGTGTATACCTTGCTCTCCTCTCCATACTTACTGTTGTCCTTACTACTTCTTGCAGGTTATATTGATCAGAAGCAAGCACCCTGTGGAGTGAGAGACACACCTGGCGTGAATGAAGATTATCACAAGTTGTATAACCATGGACAAATTATGATCCTTAAGTGTTCTGTTAAATGGGAGTGGTACTTACCTCACATGGTTTTTTTTTTAAGGATTAAGTGATCTAATGGATGCAAAATACTAAGTTGCCTGGCACATACTGATAACTATTATTCATAGCTCAACTTGAGTCTCCTAGGCTTGGCACCTCCGATAGTGCTCTTCGTCTCCCCCTTCACAGTAGTTGCACAATTCTCCCAAACAATCATCCTTCCCTAAGTCTCCATTAACTCTCCGTTGCTTACACAAAGCCAAACCCAGCCTTTTAGTAAGTAAATCATCTAAGTCTCTCTTTACTGAGCCCCCACCTCTTTCCCAGATTCTATTCACAATACTTCACATAAAATTCCTGAATATATTGTACAATCTAGTATCTTTTGTCTGTATAGGAAACTCATCTTTATCTTTCCAAAGTTAAGTGAACGTTCTGTTTGCTTCCTAGTACATCCAAACAGAAATGTGTACTGACTCCTAGGGAGTTACATACTGCTGTTGCATTCATTTCTTGATTTTTCTGTCTCCTTTACCAGCCTAGGAAAAACGTGAGAGCAAAGATTGTCATATATCCTCAATATGAAACATAGTTCTTGGAGGTAGTAAGCATACAGTAACTACTGTGTGGATAAAAGGAGGGACACTGGAATTGGCATTATTTCACATCCTCTCAATAATTTTAAACAGCAGCAACATATCTGCCAAGTTTACTAACATTAGTAAGTTCCCATGAATGTCAAAATGAATGGCGGGATTACAGGTGGTTGGTTTCTTTTTGAAAAGGCAAAATAGTGTACATACTAGCACACGTTAAGTAAAATACTAGGGGAAAATTCAAATGTTGAGTTGTTGGTATGTAGAAAAACATACCATGTAGGAATGCTTACTATTTATAATGAATATTTATAGTTAATGCTTGTGGTAATCACTTCATATGCCATGTTACGTAATCCTTCCAACAACTATATGAACGAGAAATTCTTAGCATCTTACCTCAAGAACCTGAGTCAGGACTTAAACCTAGTTCTATTTTGACTTAAAGCTTACATTTTTAACTACATCATATTATTGTTGTCCATCAACCCACTGGGTTTATACCAGAAATTTGGCATTTAGTCACAAGGATGAGAGAAAAGTAACAAAAGCATAAGGCAGATCTTCTATGTGAAGAGACTAAAACACAAAACCTTCCAGTTTGCCAAGGTGAGGGAAAACTATCCGAGTTCTGTCAACGCAAGAATGGTGAACAGTGTCAGCACTACCAGGGTCATTTATCAACTTCTTTAGTCAAGAATAAACTAGACAGAACTGAGGGGTAGGCTATGAAAAACAACTCGTATTTTTCAAAAGAAAAATATTAGATTGGGTAGATTTGGGACATCTCTCCAGAATGCTATTTCAATAGCTCTAAAGCAGATTTAGTTTGATATGATTCCATAGCTTGTCAGCCTCCTTTCCAGGTTCTACACTTACAGGCCAACATTGAAATTGTGGGTCTCAGAATCATGGTTCCTTCCTCATCTCATTTGTGACAGCAATTCATTCGTTTATTTTTAAAAATGGCAGTTCTTCAGGGAGAAATATCTACCATCACCCTTATTTAAAAGCCTGCTAACTGTGCTTTGCCTTGGTACTCATCCACTCAAGAAACTCAAACATCTACCTAAACTGGTTTGGCTCAGCAGTAGAGCATCGGTCTGAGGACTGAAAGGTCCCAGGTTTGATTCCGGTCAGGGGCATGTACGTTGGTTGCGGGCACATCCCTGGTGGGGGGGTGCAAGAGGCAGCTGGTTGATGTCTCTCATTGACGTTTCTAGCTCTCCCTTCCTCTCTGTAAAAAAATCAATAAAATATATTTAAAAACAAAAAAAAATTCAAACATCTACCTATGGCAATTATATTTCAACAGTTGTTTCAGGAGACAAGTTACCATGATATCTAACAGAACCTTGAAGAGATGTTTTAGATAAGGAAAAGCATGGACTTAAAACTAACCAGCTGCTCTTGACAGAAAATTCAAATACAAGTTCTTTTCCTTTAAGTGGGGGAACGTTACTTTTCACACTTACATAGTTGTTTCATTCTGTGATCTCTTTGAGGGGGGGAAAAAAAACCCAATACTGTTTTAAACTGCTTCCTAAGCAAACACATTCTCAACTTGGCTGCACCTTAGAATGACTGTAGTAGTGATTCTAAAGAAAAAAGTGCAAATACCCAGGCCTGTTTTCAGGTCATTTAAATCAGAATCTTTGTGAATAGATCTTGGCATAGAGATTTTTAAGAATAGTTCCCCTGGGGTTCTAATACACACAACCAAGGTTGTCTGACTTAAGAGGACTCAACTGTCTATCTTAAGTAGACAATGGCGGAGCAGAGCAACAAGTTATGAACACTGACTGTAGATCGTATCTAGAAGTAACCTCTGTAGATCCCTACCTAGTGTCTTTCTTGTCATGATTAAAAGTAGATACTAGGCTGTAGAAAACAAAGCCCTCCCAGTAGCTGGTGTGTAACGTACCTTTGTAGTAACTTAATTCCACTGAATATGTTATTTGGGTGGGTGGTTGCTAAAGACATGAAGGATGAATAGATTCACTGCCAACTATATGCCACAATGAACAGACAACTGAGAAGTTAGAGGATGGTCTTCCTACAAGGCCAGTCATAACCATTCATGATAAACTATAGGGGAAAAAACCCACAATTAGACGTGAGAAATTCAATACACCTAAATATAATGAATCTTTTATTTTGAAGAAGTTCCTAAAGCCCAATAGAGAGGGACAAGGGGAGATAAATGGGAATACTTCAATACATAATAAAAAATTTGTGAGCCTTCACAGGTGACCTGAAAGTTAATAGTACTTTATTGCTATTTTCTACAATCTGTAGAGCAATATTAATATTTACAGCAATTTAACAAGAACTTGAATATCCACTATTTTCCTAGTCACTATACCTTCATACTAAAAGGTACCCAGTGTAAATCCTGAAATTTCCTACATTAGAAATGGATTTACATGAGTCTGAACCAAAGCATTAATCATTTAACTTCATATTGTAATTAGACATTTGTCAGAAAAATGCTGTGAAACTGAATGCTTGAACTAACAAGTAGGCTCTTAAAAGTAAAAATTTTAAATTATAAAAAAAATACAAGTGAAGCAGTTGGCTTATTTTTCTGTCCTTTTTCAATTAACATCAGAGCAAATAATGTAAACAGTGTAACAATGCTAGCTCAATGTGTTGCTGAATGTTTCTATTATTGTTATTAATGCATAGTAATTTTTTTTTTTACTGTTAATAAAGGGAAGAATTATTATTTAATATTCCACAATTCAGAACTTAAAGGATCTAGGAGACAGATTTGTTATAATGGCCCCTTTTTCATTTGGAAAGTAATCAACCAGCAATATGACTCCTTGAAGGCAAAAAGGTAGTTCATAATAAGGGAGATGGTAGCTAATTTAGTTATTCATCATTAATGAAGAAACACGAGTTTTGGATAGAAAACCCTATCCTACTTGCAATGAGACATTAAGTACTAGAAAATACACCCAGTAAACTTACAGAGCAAAGTAAACTAGTGGCAAGTTTATGAAAGCCCAATGTTAGGAAACCATAATTGTTTGTGAAAATAGCCATAGAACGACATGGAGGGGCTTCTTGTTTGTTACACAAAGTACAGGTGATCAGGCAAGCGTAATGATTGACTCAACAAAAACCATGGGATCCAGAACATATTCCAAAAATCCCTTCACTCCTATGTTGTTTCTAAAGGAGACAATAATTTATATTTATTGAAGCCAAGTTGAAGATTCAGCAACAGCAGAATCTTTGTATAACAGATTTAAAAATTTCCATCATTAGTGCTCATTTCAGCAGCACATTACTAAAATTGGAACGATACAGAGATTAGCATGGCCCCTGTGCAAGGATGACACGCAAATTTGTGAAGTGTTCCATATTTAAAAAAAAAAAAAAAAATTTCCATCATTATTCACCACCATCAATTTTTCAATTTGGGAATTATACTATTTGTATGAAATAATCGGCCCTTAACATAGACACAAAGAAAAGCCTGATATAAAAATGTAAGAAGTACACTAGTCTTATTAGAGAGCCAAGTATCAATACTTGATAATTGCAGCCTTGAAACAAAGCCTATATTGTTTTTGGCAAGTAGAACTCTATAAAGAGCACTAAAGATTAAGATGCCAAGCTTGCCTATAAACAACAATTTAGTAAAGTTTTCATTTAAATAGTACCAATTTTTTTTTTTCTTGCTACAATTCCAAGACGGCATCACTTCAAAGGCAAATGGATAAACTGAGAGGCTGGAAACCTTTAGGTCCTCTTTCCTACAACATACTGCTCCCTTTCCTCTGCCCATTACTGTATCATAAGAGGGGTCTGTCCCTCTAAGGAGGTAGCAGTGTTAAATAGAATGTATAATTTAGAGCATGTTTAATTTTTCTGTTTTATCAAAGTAAGAGCATTCTTCTCCTCACAACCTCCTGTATACTACCAATACTTTATTTCAACCTCCCTCTTGAAGGTCACATACTGAAAGGTCAAAGTACAATTCAATAAAGAATAACCTTTTCCAAAGTGTCTTATTGCTACAAGTTGTGAGCATTCCAATCATCAAAAACTTGTTTTCAGCTTTTTATGGTGCAACACGGCCATTTCCTAGGACTTTGTTTTGGCAGTGGATAAGGTGAAGTTTAGATCTAGAATGGTATCAAGAAACCCTGTCTATAACTTAAAGAAGTGGTGCATGAGCCAGAATAAGATTATCTTCCATCTGAAAGGTCAGTCTTTCTTGGAATTCTCTTGAGTAATTTCAAAATTTAAGGCTAGTAATTGCTGAGACAAGTATATACGTATCTTGTAAGAAAATCTAATACTTATTACTTTTTACTAAACAGATGCTATACATGGCAACTAGAATACTGTGCAGAAGAGACTTCCCTGAATTTATGACAACCTACCTGAATCTAGACCACACTTCCTTGGTCTCTTCTCATGAACACAGCTTTCATTTCACAGCTCTAAAAGCAACACACCATGGAAGACAAACAGCAACACATCGTGAAAAACAAGGGCCCATACAATCCATTGGAAAGCTATTCACTAATGCTGGGTCTACTTTTAGTCATGCTATTAAGGATCAAACTTTATTCTTGTGCATAATAGATACAGAAAAAGTATGATGCAACTATCTAAAGTTGAGGAAACTAACCTACTCAGACTTTAATTTTTAAATGAGAAATGACAAGAGTAGTAAATATGAAGAAAAACAAAAAGAACTTTACTTTCCTATGTTAATACAGGTCAAGGGACCCTTTCTTCTCAAAAGGGTTGATAACACCAGTTCTTAGCAATAAACATAAGGCACTTGTTTAGATTATAACATCACTGCATTTTCTTTTCCACTTGTTTTTCTAACCATGTTCCCCCCACCCCCACACAGTATCATTTGGAATTAATAGAGTAAATGAGGCAAGTGAGATGACCTCATTGATACTACTCAGGGCAATATAGTACAGTACAATGTTTTAGGGGTGATGTCTGGACATAAAATGGACCCTGTCAAGGTCCCCTAACACCAGACAATGTATCCACTATCAAGTAAACCTGAAAAAAAATATTTATTCAATAGTTCCAGTAAAACTGGGTTGGAATTACAATATATGTATTAGGAATTTAACTCCTCACCGGTGGTATCTGCATCGAGAATTGAGTACTTATGAATATTCATTCTAAGACAATCTACATCATTTCAACATTGTCAAAACAAATATAATTCCATTTCAATATACAGTAGAGTTTAAACATAATTCACACACACCCCCTATCATATGGCTGGTGCCTCCTCCAATCACCTCATTAGTGGCAGAGGTAGCACTAGTGTTCTTTCCCAACAGTAAGAACTTCAGCTGCCACTCACAGTTGAAAAAAATGTTGGCGTTTCTTGCCATCTATTAAGATGTTCCTGAGATAGGGTCAGTTAATAAAACATAACGAAGCACTCAAATTCAGTTTGTACTTTTCTTTACATCACTGAATTATTAGACTGGGATGTGGAATGCAGGAATGTACTATGAAAGGTTGAATTTATCACAACTGTCCCATCAGTGGAAGTATCAAGTCTTCTAAAAATTCCCTTTAGAATATACTTTTCATAATAGTATGGAAAAAAGACCAATTACACATACAACTGATTCACTTAATCTTATTTGCTCAGATCTTGCAATACAGTGAGAACCTTGGGTCGGAGGCTGGTTCTCAGTGTATAGATTTAACATATTAAGGCTCATTTCCTCAATCAAAATAACAGTTGTTTTCCTTTCAAATTATTAATTACAAATTGCATTCATAGTACCTGCGTCATCCAAGCCCTCAGTGAAACCTGCTGGAGCTGCCCTGCACCTGCACTGCGGAACTCCCTGACACCAGCACTAGGCCATCTGCAGAGCTCCCGTCTGCACTAACCTTTCAGTATACTACAGCGCCTCTGGCTTGCAACCTCTGTTTCCACCTGTATATTTCAAGAAGCCCAACACAGATTAGTTGAAATATTCACACAACTGTTTTTCAAAACAATTTATTGCATCATATTTGGTACCTCATTTTGACAACAAAAAGGAAATTACATCTGTAACTGCAGGAAAAAGAAGCTGGTCTGTTATTGAAAAAAAAAAAAAATCTTGGGCCCTTTAAAAATTACAAAGTCTTGGGCTTGCCTGAAACAACTGAGCAAGAAATATATTCTTAGAAATGTAGGGCTTCAAGTATTACAAACCTGTGACACTGTGGAAAAATTCCAGAGGTATCTAAACTGCAGCACTTTTTTTCTGCATATCGTGAACAAGGCCTGCTGAGGTTTTTTAACTATTAGTCTCTTGATCAGTCATAGAATGGTAGTCAGGAGTTCTGCTCTTTAACTTCAAGCCATGGTAGATTTCCTTTTTTCACTCTGGGTGAAAAAACTCATGCTTGCTAATTAGTTGGTGCCATATCACAGTGCATTTGGTTCTTGCATTACAGTTTTAACAAGTTTGGCCAAAACAATGCTGAAAGGTTTGCATTGTTATTTTAGTTCTTCAAGTTTTAGTTAAAATTGATTGTTCCAACTGGTATCTTCAGTTAAAAAAAACTGTGGTACAAGAACGCCAAACTGATCATGTACAGTGAATTTTGGAAACACAAGCGTATTGAACACCCTCTAGGTTTCTTAGAATTCTGCTTGATATCTATATGTCCCAGCTTCTACAACATCAAGCATCTGTTGTAGGTTTCTCTGTAAATAGTGATTCACATTTGCATACTTCCTATAGCCAGAATCAACCCCATAACAAAACCAGTCAGATGCTAAAGCCCCAACAACTCTTTGTGCTCAGTGAAAGAATCCAGTGCTAAAACAGCATTTATGCTGTCTGAGATATAGTAAAATCTCACAAGACAAATTTAAAGTAATATTTCTGCCACACACCTGCTTTGTTAGCTGTAACGGCCTCCAGATTTTCTATAAATTAGTTTAAAAACATGGGTAGGTAGGTAGGAAGAAGATAGTTCTCTTTTTTTTAACCCCTCAATTTTAGCAGCTTTTAATTTTTTAAGAAACTGAACCTATATCCTGTAATATGTTAGGTATTTTATATATACTTTCTCAGCAGGATAAAAAACTTAAAAGACTATTTGAAGGCAAGAACATTTACTCTTCTCATTCTGCTTAAGTCAGAGCAATGCAGCAGGTGCGTGACAAAAATATTATATACTAGATATGGTCCAAAGTCATTCCATTTGCTTGTTTAGTGATGTTCAAATTTCATTGGCCAGTTCTTCAGTTTCTGCAGAACTATCTCCATTAACTGTGATCTTCATATCCTCTTCATATCCAGGAGGCATAAAAGCCAAAGCATAAGGGAAAAGCTTATGACAATTTGCTCTATAAACTTCAGCAGCTTCTTTACAGTCTCCTAGGCTACCATCACACAAGGCTTCTAATACCTCCATACAGGTCTAAAGAAAGAAAAAAGATAATGTTATAACTTTTCCAAAGAAAACTTTTTACTGAATCTGAAATTTTTTATTAACGACGTCTAAATAAGAGGCCATATTTAAAATAAATAAGAGCATTTCCTCCCACATATATATATTCCATTAGATTTAGTTTCTTAAGAATTGCAGGGTTTATATAAAGCACATGTGTCAAACACAAGGCCCGCGGGCCAAATCCATCCCGCCAGGCCTTGCAATGTGGTCCGCACCGCGCTGTCATCACTGCACTCCGCTGTGTTTCCATCACAATGACAGTTTATGACTGTTCAGTAAACCATTCGGCCTGCGATTTAGGCTGGATTTTAGATTTTGGCCCCTTCTCTGATTGAGTTCGACACCCCTAATATAAAGGAAGAATGTTTAAGCAGGGCCAGGACTAAGGTTGGGCAAGCAAGGTGTATAGAGTGCTACATTTAAAGAGACACTCACTTTCAGCAAGTGCTGAATCCTAAGCAACAACCTTGACTCGGCCTAGTCTGGCCCTGTATATGTCAAAATTCACTTGCAAAGATCAATTAATGCATTTAAGCCTTTTAATATTTTTGGAATCTAAGAGCCAGTTGGCAAAATCAAACACTGCTTTTCAACCTTGTATTCAAACTAAAAAGAACCTTAAGATGTGTCCAATAACTAAGCAGAAAAGATCATCTCAAACACAAAGGGCATATATGCAAAAACAAAATGTGTTTATGAAAAGTGATAATTCTTCCAACCAAACCCCTAAGTACATCTGCTTCTTCTATTTCTAAATGATATGTGTTGACTTGCGGTTCTCATCTTCCCACTTGGAAAACACTATGTAGTTTCCAGATATATAATATACTATAAGCCTTGCTAGTCTAGAAATGCTCTGATCTAAATGCTGCATTAATTATGCAAGAAAGGAGTGTAATTTTAATTTTTACCTTAAAGATATTAAAGGAAAATATTTAACTCTTTCAACAAGTGCTTTCTTAAAATACTGGCTGCTCATCACACAAAGTAGCTGTCCTTTGCTTTTAAACAATCTGTATTTTGCAGCATACCCATATTCTTTCACTCTACTTTACCCCGTTATATTACAAGCTATAAAAGGAGCATATAAATTCAACCTGTGGTAAATACATTTTAAACATGTTAGAATTTTTATTGAGACCACTGCTTGCTCAGAAATGTGATATCTGAAAGCCAAAATTAACTCTGAAATGTATATATTTTACTAAAACATTTTTCTGAAAAAAAAAACTGTAACAGATGTGAAACTAGTTATTAAATGACAAGTACTAAACTATGCATGTGTGCACAAACACAAAATACTAAATAAATTTAAGATACGGTAACTTTCTGACATGGATTCATAATAATTTGAATGCATAAATAACAAAAATATTATTTGTGACAACTGTTTTCTTGATGAAAAGAGGAATAAAAAGTAGGTAGGTACTCATACAGAGAGGTCATAAAAAACTCTTTACCTGGAGGTTTCTGTTAGTGAGGGATTCATCAAGTGTTGTTGCCAACTCTATAGCTCGCTTTTGACTAGAAGAATCTAAATAATATACCATTTTGGCAGCTAAATGAAAAGAAAAACAAAAATTTGTTTTATTTCAAAGTAAAACCAGCATCTTATCCTCCATGCATTCAAATATAAAATGCAAGGCATATGTGCACAAACTGTGGCACTTTATTAGAAAAATAAGAAATAGTCATTTAAAACAGTGTCTTTTTTTTAAAAAAATTCTGAAGGTAAGACCAGAAATAGCCTAACTAGAAGGTGAAGGCCTAGGAGGGACAAGGGCAAGATGTAGGGAGGCAAAGGGAGAGGGAAATGAGGGACATCTGTAATAGTCAACAATAAAAATTTTTTTTTAAGTGTTTTTAAGGTAAGAGAGACTATGAAGAAATGCAAATATTCTAAAAACATTTGTCTTTGTGTGGCAAGGCCCTGTATAGTTTTCTTTCAAAAATGAACATAATTTGAGGTTTAAGAGAACACCTAATCTTGACAATAAGAGCCAAAACTCTGAATTGAGAAGTCCACAAAAGCATACAAAGCTGCTGGGTTTCTTAGCCAGATTTTTTTTTTGTTAATACTCACCCGAGGATATTTTTCCATTGATTTTTAGGGACAGTGGAAAAGAGAAACATCAATGTGAGAGAAACACATCAATTGGAGGCTTCCAACAAGAGCCCCGACAAGGGCCTGGGCCGGGTACCTGCCCTTGACTGGAATAGAACCTGGTACCCTTTGGTCCACGGGCCGACGCTCTATCCACTGAGCCAAACTGGCTAGGGCTTTAGCCTGGTATTTTTAAAGCGCCTTACTAAATCACCAGCCACACAATCCCATCTTATCCAGAATTTAGCTGGCTAGCACAGATTCGTCAGATAATCCTTGCTTGTGGGATGGTTTCAGGTGTTTAGCACTGTCAAGTTTGCTGTCATACAAACACGTGAGAAATGGAGGATGACGGTCACATCCAAGTGAATTTTAAGAGTACTATGATGGGAGAAAGAAGTAAAAAGTTTCTCCTTCAGGAGAAACCAAGATGGCAGCATAGGTAATCGCCTAACTGCAGCCTCACACAACAATTTCAAAAAATACAACCAAAATATAAAGTGGACATTATCCAGAACTACAGGAAAGTTGACTAACTGGAAATTCTACAATGAGAAGGAAAGAGAAAACCAGAAAGAAAATCAGAGGAGCTGTAAAAGCCTAAGGTATGGAGACTCGTTGCACGCAGAGAGGACGGAGCTGGAGAGGAGGGGCGGCTCAGTGCCTGGCTGGCATTTCCTAGTGGGAAGGAGATAAAAGCTCCGGACTGTGCTGAACCCCAGTTCTGGGTGAGACCCTTGGGCCCCAGGCTCATACAGAGGGAAACTGGGCTGTAAGGCGAAAGGCAGAGCCCCAGAGTCCCGCACATTTAGGGAAGAGGACAGACTGTTGATTGAGCCGCTGGATTGCCCTAGCAGGAAGGAGATATAAGCTCCGGACTGCTCTAATCCCCAATTCCAACTGCACTGAACCCCAGTTGCGGGCTCGTTGAGGAAGAGACTAGACTGACTGGTAGCAGGCGAAACTCAAGGGCACCTTTCTCTCAGAGGTGCTTGCAGCAAGTACCAAAGGACACTGAGGAACACCGAGACTCAGAAACCTCATAGGATGGGGCTAACCGAAAGCCAAGGCTGTAGGCTCCACCCTGAAACTCCGCCCCATCCAAGCTGAGCACAGAGGCTCTTGCAGTTTTCCAAGTCTAGTCGAATAAGGCTGTCTCCTGGCATAGGCACAGCTGATCCTCCCACCCTACCAACTCAGGGAAGCAGTGAAAATGCTGAGACAAGGAAACAGATCACAAATGAAAGAAATGGAGGACAAAAAGTGACTGGATTTAGAGTTCAAAACTACGCTTATAAGGTTTTTCAAGAATTTCCTAGAAAAGGTCGATAAGACCTATGAGGATATGAAAAGAGATCAACTAGGAATAATAAGGGATCAACAAGAAATAATAAGGGATCAACAAGAAATAAAGAATACATTGTCTGAAATAAAAAATATTATACAAAGTCCTAAAAACAAAATGGAAGATCGCAAGAATCAAGTCAAAGATTTGGAACATAAAGAGCCAGAAGACACTCCTCCGCAGAAGCAAGAAGACAAGAGAATCCAAAAAGTTGAAGATAATGTAAGAAACCTCTGGGACAACTTAAAGCGAACCAACATCAGAATTATGGGGGTCCCAGAAGATGAGAGAGAGCAAGATATCGAAAACATACTGAAAGAAATAGTGACAGAAAACTTCCCCCACCTGGTGAAAGAATTAGACTTACAAGTCCAAGAAGCGCACAGAACTCCAAACAAAAGGAATCCAAAGAAGACCACACCAAGACATATCGTAATTAAAATTCCAAGAGCAAAAGACAAAGAGAGAATATTAAAAGCAGCAAGAGAAAAGGTAGTTACCTATAAAGGAGCACCCATAAGATTGTCAGCTGATTTCTCAACAGAAACCATGCAGGCCAGACAGGAATGGCAAGAAATATTCAAGGTGATTAACAACAAGAACCTTAAAGGAGTTCATTACCGCCAAACCAGAATTATATGAATTGCTGAAGGGGGTTCTTTAGGAAGAGGAAGAAAAAATATAGATAAAAATTATAAACAACAAATATGTAACTATCAACAAGTGAATCTAAAAACCAAGGGAATTAAAAAACCTGAAGAACAATATTAACTGTTGAATATAATAGAATCAGAGGTACGGAAGGGGAGTAGACTGACAATTCTCAGGGAAAAAAGGAGTGAGGGGTGTGGGAAGGGACTGAACATAAACTGTGCACCTATGGATGAGGACAGTGGGGGGTGGGGAAAAAGCAGAGGGTGGGGTGGGAACCTGGTAGAAGGGAAAAAATGAGGAACTTTTGTAATAATATGAACAATAAAGATTTATCTAAAAAAAAAAAAAAAGTTTGTCCATTGTATGTAATTTATAGCTAAATTCAGTTATACTTGCTTTTCTACAATGCCTATGCTGAACCAGGAGAAACTACTGACCTTGATTCATAGTCATAATTTTGTCAAGGAAATTTTAAATTATATAGGAAGCGTATATAAGTTGCCTGTTTTCATGGATTAAAATGTGACGTATACACATTGCCTCTTCCACATAAAAAATGTGTAACGCCATTGATCCATTAAAATAAAAAATAAAGTTGTCTTACACAGCCATGATAAGGGCAAAATAAAGTGATTACCTGATAATCTGTGTGGCAATGAATCAGAATTCCTTTTCAGAAAAGTCTCATTAAAATTCTTTGGATTCGTTGCTCCAAAAAGACGATTCATTTCTTGTTTTAATACTGTTCTAACTGCATCAGGTAAATCTTTACTGTCACACACTGCTGAACAAATTAAAAACAAACTATTAGCAAGTAGAAAGTCTGATAAAGTTTGTAGGAGTTAAGAAAAATCTAAAGACAATTCAACATTTAAAGAGCTTACCTATATAAATTTAAAGAATTTCAAATTTATGTGTCATCACTCAAAGACATTTCATTGACAAATGATTCATTCCCAGAAAAGAACAGAAAGCAAAATAGATGATAAAAGATGTAATTCCACTCCTACATGCTGCCCCATTAATTTTACAGGGAGTTTGACTGGTAGCTATGATGCACACTGACTACCACGAGGCAGACGCTCAACACACACCCATGGAAACATGGAACTGACAGATGAATCTCAGAGGGAAAGGGGCAGGGAGGAGGGTGGGAAGAGATTAAGCAAATATCTAAAGATCTCATATGCCTACTGGAGGCCTGGTGCACGGATTTGGGACAAAACCGGCATCTGACATCCCTTGAGGGGTCCCAGATTGTGAGAGGGCACAGGCCAGGACAAGGGACCCCACTGTACAAGAATCCGTGTACCAAGCCTCTAATAATTTAAATAAGGCTTTACCTTTTCTCTGAAGACAAAACAATGTTCTTAATTGGGACAATGTAGCAATTTTCAAAACTGATAAAAATGCCTGGTTTAATATCATTATTTTATATAATGAATGTATTTATATGAGCCTGAGTATTTAAGCAATGAGATAACTAATAGTATTTCTAAATTCTGCAAGTTGTTCTAGTAAAAATTCCATTTCACCTTCTCTAATCACTGAAAAACCAAAACAGCACTACTTGTCTATAGGAGTGCTTTATCTATACGTAAAGCTCTTGTTGTAGATAGAACAATATGAAGACGTAGGCTCTCATCCCTGCCTCATTACTGATTATCTGTTACCTTGAATAAGTAATTTAGTATCTTTAGGGTTCCCAAATTTCTCAAATGTAAAATGAAATAATTAGAATAAAATTCCACCTTTCATTCTCTAAAATTCTGTAGTTTTACTACTCATTAAAACTAATGTATAGAATCTTATCAAAATATTTGAAAAGTATGACGATTGTTTTAAAGTTCTTTTTAACCTATACATATTTAATAACAAAAAATTCTGTGACCTAACTGTGCTAAAGCAGGTACATAAAGAGATAACCAGTCCATTTCAAAGAGATTCTTAAATTTCAGAACAATTTACTAAGAAGCTTATATAATAACATATGATTCAAAACTTCAATTTACATGTAACCTTTTATAAACAGAAACAAAGGTAATTCATAAATACCTGAACTGAACAATTCTGTCAAAATTAGGTAACATTTTTTTATCGTTAAGAAATAAAGACTTTCAGCACAAAGACAAGGACTTTGCTTTGGCCTCAGCTAATTTAACATGCAACAGTTTTAAAATGATTAAGATGGTAAACTTGTACAGAACATTTACACAGTCACAAATATTTCAGAAATGGTAAACAAAAACATACCAGTACTAAAGAGTCGAATCATACACTCATGAAGCCAGGGATGACTAGAATCAATAGCAAATGCTCTTTTTACTGATTGTAGCATCAAAAGAAACTTTTCTATAAAAAGAAAAAGTGAGATATAGTTTTATCATTTGCTAAAATAAGATGCCTTCTTTTGGAGATCTAAGATCTTACAAATAGAAAAACTAATTTATAGTCAATCATATCTGATCTACTGAACATACAACTGAAGCCAATGATTTCCTCAGATTAGCAACATTAACTACTATTTTTCATACAACATTCTTTAAGAAAAAAGGTTTTAAGAAGTACAAAAAGTTTAGATAGCACTCAACAATATTTGAACTAATGCCATATAAACAAGTCCATTTCAAAGAGATTCTTCAATTTCAGAACAATTTACTAAGAAGCTTATACAATATGATTTAAAACTTCAACAGAAACAGATCTGAAGCCATTTCATTTCCTAACGTCCTTAAATCAAAATAAAGGGATTTTCCTCACTACATAAAAAACATCATTGAGCCTAGCTGGTCTGGCTCAGTGGATAGAAGGTCAGCTTGTAGACTAAAGGATCCCATGTTTAATTCCAGTCAAGGGCACGTGCCCCGGTTACGAGCTCAATCTCTAGTAGGGGGCGTACAGGAGACAGCGAATTGATAATTCTCTTTCATCATTGATGCTTCTATCTCTCTCCCTCTCCCTTCCTTTCTGAAATTAAAAAAAAAAAAAAAAAAAAAAAAAAAAAAAAAAAAAAAAAAATTTAAATCATTGTTGCCGAAACTGGTTTGGCTCAGTGGATAGAGCATTGACCTGCAGAGTGAAGGGTCCTGGGTTCAATTCCAGTCAAGGGTATGTACCTTAGTTGCAGGCACATCCCCAGTGGGGGGTGTGCAGGAGGCAGCTGATTGATGATTCTCTCTCATCAACATTTCTAACTCTCTATCCCTCTCTCTTCCTATCTGTAAAAAATGAGTAAAATATATTTTTTTAAATAAATTTTAAAAAATCGTTTATATGCTTAAAACCATTTCCTTTCTTGTGTTTGCTCACATGTGTAGTGGTCTGCTTCCTACCTGACTGTTCTCTCCTGTCAATCCCTGGCTCTTCCTTCCCCTGAAAGGTAGTTTTCAGTGATGTTCTAATCTCTGTCTATGCTGTTCCCCACTCATCCCCCACCCCCATGTTCCCATGCTACAGCAGTGCTTCAACCTGTTGAATGGAAATCCACAGAAGAATACTCACTGCACTTCTATCATCTATGAATACCTCTTTGTTAAAAGTTCCCTAATTTGGTACCATTCTCCAAATATCAAAATTCAAAACCCCAGGTTTCTCTGACATTTTCTTTTCCCTTACCCTCACCACTCAGAAAGCTAAAAGCACTGCCATGCCCTTTGTCACAGCCCATTTCACTCTCCTGTAGTGGACTGTCAATGCTGAGAGCCCTTCAGAGGTTAAAGCATAGCCAAGAAGCCAAGTGAATGGAATTTAGATTGCCCTTCCCCACTCTAAGACAACTGTTGCATTTTATACTCTGGGACTGATTTAAGAGTATTGGTTTAAAGAGAGTTGCAGTAACTATTAAAAATTTAAAAATTACTGGACTATTAAACTTAGTTTCCAAATTATAACATAATCATTGTGGAAAATAGAAAATATAGTAGAACATACTTTAGTCATTCAAATTCCACCTTGAGATAATCTCTGTTATCTTTTATCAATTTCTTCTTGGCCATTTTTCTATTGTACATACCCCTGTATCTTCCTATATAATAAAAGCCTAATATGCTAACTGTCCGGTCATCTAGTTGGCTGTTCATCCAATCAAGGCGTAATATGCTAATGATATGCTAAGGCCACTCAACAACTTGTTATGATGTGCACTGACCACTGGGGGGGGGAGACAGTAAACTGATCAACCAGTCACTATGGTGTGCACTGACCAGCAGGGGATAGATGCTCCAACCGGTAGGTTAGCTTGCTGCTGGGTTCCGGCTGACTGGGATTGAGCAAGATGGGCTGGACATGCCATGGGGCCCTCCCACAGTCTCTCTCCGGCTGACCAACCTCCCACCTCCCTCCCCAGCCCTAATCGTGCACTAGTGGGGTCCCTCGACTGGGCCTGCACCCTCTCGCAATCTGGGACCCCTCAGGGATATCAAAGAGCAAGTTTTGGCCTGACAGCAAATAACCAGTCAATATGACAGACACTGACCACCAGGGGGCAGTCGCTCAGTGTAGGAGCTGCCCCATGGGGGTCAGTGTACTCCCCCAGGGGAGCGCCACGCAGCCAGAAGCTGGGCTCATCATGGCTGGTGAGCGCAGCAGTGGTGGTGGGAGCCTCTCCTGCCTCCGCGGCAGCGCTAATGATGTCCAACTGATGACTCCTGGACTACGAGAGGGTGCAGGCTGGCTGAGGGACCCCCCACCACCACACCAGTGCACAAATTTCATGCACCAGGCTTCTAGTATTAAAATGAAAATCAAGTTATAGTTAGTTTTGTGTCCTATTTTCAAACAATGGTATATGGCAAGCTTTCCCTAACATTATAAATTACTTTTGGTAAACATGATTTTTAATGGATACTCTACAGAGGTGTCATTTTATTCAATCTTTTTTAGAAGGACAGTTAAATTGTTTGGAAACAATCTTCTATTGGATCTTAATAATCAGTTTCTCTCTCTTCAAAATGTATCATCTTAACACACTAAGCATCCTGTCAGTCACTGGTGACTGACACTATACTTTCTATCCTGAAGATAAAACAGACTGGACATTTAATGTATTAGTGATAAAGTTTTCTTTTTCAATAAACCACTGGGATTACACCAATTCAACAGCATAAAATCTTCTTATTACCTAATATCTTCTATATAATAAAAGCCTAAGGGACCATTATGGTGGAATAACCGAAACAACTGGTCACTATGATGCACACTGACCACCTGGGGGCAGATGCTCAACATAGGAGCTGCCTCCTGGTGGTCAGTGCGCTCCCACAGGGGGAGCACCGCTCAGCCAGAAGCCAGGCTCACGGCTGGTGAGGGCAGCAGCGGTGGCAGGAGCCTCTCCCACCTTCACCACAATGCTATGGAGCAGCAAGTCAAGTGGTAAAAAGCAGTAAGCAAACAGGCAGTAAGGAGTGAGGGGGCCCAGACTGCAAAAGGGATGTCTACCTGCTGGATTAGGCCCCCGTCTTGAATTTCATGCATTGAGCCTCTAGTATATAGTATAAGCATTCTAAACTTGGCAACTAAGAACTCTCATTTATATTTTACCTGGCTCAGGGAATATAGCCAACCTCAACATTACCTTATTTACACAAACTTGTGTTTTCTTAACAAAGCCTCTTCCCTTCTACACATCTTTTCTTTTAGAAATAGGAGCCATCCTTCAAGATACACCTCAAGCATCAGATCTTCCATTTTTAACAATAGCTAACATTTACTAATGCTTACTATGTACCAGATACCATCCTAAGCTCTACATATATTAACTAATTTTTATCCACAGACACACATAAGAGCTACTATAACTGATCCTAATCCTAGTTATGCATGTACATTTATTATTGATTTTAATGTCCCAGAAGAAATAATCATATTCTTGTACCTCCCCACAACATATTGTGCATAGCAGGCAAGCTGAACTGGCATTTGCCAAACAGTTGTGAGGCTATTGGAGTTCAGAGACTATATCTAAGAAATACAGTAATCAATGTTATCAGGGCCACTATATCCTAATTGCCTACCTTTCCTAAAATAAATCTCAAAGGCAAAAAGATGAGTTTCTATCTTGTTCTTCACCAAGTTCTTCAATGGTGTTAAAAATTTAATAGCTTCTTCCAATGGAGTTTCAACCTAACAAAAATAAAAGAGATTATACAAATGGAAACAAGATTTGGTTGTGGGGGAAGGGGGGAGGGATGATATTACTCTTTCTATTAAAAACACTTTAAAAAACAATAGCTCATCCTAACTGGTTTGGCTCAGTGGATAGAGCGTCAGCCTGCAGACTGAAGGATCCCAGGTTCAATTCTGGTCAAGGGCATGTACCTTGATTGCAGGCACATCCCCAGTGGGGGGTGTCCAGGAGACATCTGATCAATGTTTCTCTCTAATCGATGTTTCTAACTCTTTATCTCTCTCCCTTCTTCTTTGTAAAAAATCAATAAAATATATTTAAAAAATATAGCTCACCCAATAATAACTGTCATATTAAAATTCCCATAATCTAAAGAAGGGAGATTTTTGAACTCTAAAATGAATTTTAACCATAGAGATTATATTACCTCTGGATAGAAACTATCCAATAAGTAAGGAAGAAAATACAATATAACCAAAGAAAGACAGTAAGAGAAACCATTAAGGTAACCATTAAGGAAAAAAAGAAGAGTTATGTGAAATAGGATAAAGGGATAAGAAAAACACTGTAGAGATTATTACAGAATGAAGTGTTATCTATGGGAGTTGCCTTGTACCAGCATGTAAAGCTGTTGGCATTGTTCTGAAGGATACATCCTCTAAACCAGAAATCAATACATGGTACTACCATTCTAATAGCTACAGATACTAAGAAATGAAGGAGGAAATAGGGGTACTCATAAGTATACCTTTCTCAGACATTTGTAAATATTTTATTTCTTATTCCCATGATTCTAAGTTCTACTGTGTTGGAATTTGTGGTATACAGTGGAGAAACATCTACCAAGGAAAGGAAAAGAACTGGAAATGGAAATTGCCATGGGTCTACATAAAGTTTTTCATGACTCTAAGATTGTAAATTGAAATGAAGATCACTTAGACATGGCTGCTATTGAAACACAGAAACATCCCTGGCTGGTGTGGCTGTTTGCTAGAACATCATCTCGTGAGCTGTTCAGGGAACAAACATACCAGGGTACATATGAGAGGCAACTGATCAATGTTTCTTTCTCACATTACGTTTCTCTCTCTCTCTCTCTCTCTCTCATCAATGAAAAACTTATCCTCAGGCGATGATGGAGGAAGGAAGGAAGGAAGGAAGGAAGGAAGGAAGGAAGGAAGGAAGGAAGGAAGGAAGGAAGGAAGGAAGATAAGGAAGTTGAATAAATACAAGCATTATACTAAACGAAATCACTTTAGACTCAATTGGGGCCCCTATGTTTACTGAGTAGAATAATGGCTGGAATGGCCAGCATTATTCATACTCATTTTTGCCTTAAAAAAAAAAAAAAAAAAAAAATTTACATCCAGTCATGAAGATATGAATTTACTTAAATGTAGAACATAACTGTATTGATGGGCAATGTAAGACATTTATTTGCAAGGAAAGTTTTGATTATATTAATTTACAAACTAACCTGAAATCTAATCTGTGTTAAGATACCAAGATACGTTGTGCAGGAATATATCTCCCTACATTCTCAGCATAACAACAAAAAGTTTAAAAACTATTAAAACTCTATACAGACAGAATACTAAGGACTCATTACCCCTGCCTGATAAGGAATGTGTGTGCAGACACAATAGGAAGAAAAATCCAGCTGAGATGAATCCTGGCTGAAGGCAAGGAGAAACATGGGAGGGGCAGTGCATGAGGGAACTTATAAATACCAACGACTCCCCGTCATAGTTTGGAGAAACAAGAAACACAGTGTCCACCAAGACTTTAGATCTTATATGGCACTAACTGAGTATGAAACTCACTAACTAAACCTCTTCCTATTTTCCTTAACAGGAATTACTAACCTAGTAATGCTTTTATTTAAATATATATATATATATATATTCCTCAACTGGAGACACTAAACTTACCATTTATCACAAGAATCCTAAAATAAAGGATCACAAAAAAAGCAAATAGAGATCATAGGCCCAGATATGCCAGGAGCTTTTAAAGTGGCCTACAAAGCCAGCTCTGGTTGTGACAGCTTGATGTAATTTGGCACTGCCACCACATTGAGGATACAGATAAATGTGGTTGGTATTAGATGGGGGGAGCATCTTGAAGACAGTTGTTATAGGGAGAGTGCTATGTGCCTAACAGGTAAGAATAGTATATATTGAAGAATGGTCTATGAAACTGGGTCCATTCCACTAGGCTTCTTCCAAATGAAGCACATTCTGTAGGCATTATTTTGTTCTGAGAGTCTACAAGATTAGATTACAACTTGACATCTAATCCAAAACTAGCCAAAACAGGCTTGACTCAAGGAAAACCCTATAGTCTATAAAGAGGCCTGGTACAGAATTCTGCTTTGCAGGGGTACTCAATCCAAATAGATCCTCTCCTTTAAGACCTATAATGCAAGATGTGAAGAGTAACAAAGAAAAAAAGTCATTAAGGAAAGTCATTGGGTAGAGAGAAAGCAAGTAGAAAGAATAATGGTGGCAGGCAGTCATGGTAGTAAAGTAGTGGTAATAAAGCTGAGGATAAAAGTGGAAGTTGATATTATCCCTGAATAATTTTGCAGCTCTCCATGAGGCCTAAAAGGACAATTTTCTTTCTTTTTTTTAAAATCCTCACTGGGAGAGTGAGGATATAAAGAGTGGAAAGGAGAGGGGAGAGGATGGGGGGGGGGGGGGGAGAGAGAGAGAGAGAGAGAGAGAGAGAGAGAGAGAGAGAGAGAGAGAGAGAGAGAGACATCTTTGTGACAGAGACACATCTAATGGTTGGTTGCCTCTCACACGCACCCCGACAGGGGCAACACAGGTACAAGCCCTTGACTGGAATTGAACCTGCGACCCTCCAGTGAGCAAGTCAATGCTCTAACCACTGAGCAGAGCCGGCAAAAGCCTAAAGGCTTTTGTGATTACTTACTTTACAGTATACCCTTCAAATAAATTCCCCCAAACAATAAAAAAGTAACATATTTTTTCCTAGATTACATACAATTATTCGTGAAAGGGTGTTAATATATATTTATGAAATCCAAGCTAGATTTCTATATAGGACTTTAATAGCAATAATGCTATATTACTGTCCATCTTCTCTGGTATATTGAGTAATTCTAAAACTATTTTCTAATTCTATTTGTTAGGTATTATAATTTTCCTTAATTTTGAAGCATTCAACAATTTTTGAACTTTTACTTATTACTAGTAAGGCTAAAATTGAATCCTACGGCAATGTCCTCATTACTATATTGCTTTAATAAAAGGAATTATGCAATTATTTTTACATGGAGTAGAAGGATGTCAAGGGCCAGAAGAGAAACTGTATAGGTATGTTATTAATCAAAATGGCTCGTGACAATGAATAGCGTATCTTAGTTTCAGCTAAGATATTAGGTTTAAATAGCAAAGTCAGCCCTGGCTGATTTGGCTCAATGGATAGAGCATTGGCCTGTGGACTGAAGGGTTCCAGGTTTGATTCTAGTCAAGGGCACATGCCCTGGTTTCAGGCTCAGTTCCCAGTAGGGGCATGCAGGAGGCAGCCAATCAATGATTCTCTCATCACTGATGTTTCTCTCTCTCCCTCTCCCTATTCCTTCCTCATAAAAATCTATAATAATAAAAGAATAATATGCTAATTAGACTGGACATCCTTCCAGGTGACCTTCCAGACGAAACCAGGGCTGCGAGGAAAGCCTGGTCCCGAGTGCCAAAGGGAAGCCAGTGCTGGAAGCTGGGGGAATGAAGGCCACTCTTGCACAAATTTGATGCATTGGGCCTCTAGTAAAGAAATAAATAGCAAAGTCCAATAAAGAAATACTGTAAACTGACAAATGGGTTAAAGATACACATATAAAACTCACTTTTTAACAAGTGATTCCCTACATAAAGTCTTGCCAGTATGGCTCAGTCATTGAGCATTGACCCATGAACCAAGAGGTTACCCATTGGATTCCCAGTTAGAGCACATGCCCAGAAAAGGGGCATGCAAGAGGCAGCCAATTGATGTTTTTCTCTCACCAATGTTTCTTTCTCCGTCTCCCTTCTTCTTTCTTAAAAAACAAATCAATAAAACATATATTTTTTAAAATTGCCCAGATATAAAAACATGCATGTTTCCATTTATAACAGATAGATACTACATTCTTTATACATATATTTTCGCTAGCCCTAACATCTTTTCCTAGTAGAGAATTTTTCTAATCCCATTTTACAGATGGAAAAAAAAAAAAAATCAGAGAGGTTAGACATAGACACACAGTGAAGTATAAGAACTGATATGTGGCCAGGACCGGTTTGGCTCAATGGATAGGGCATCGGCTTGGGGACTGAAGGGTCCCGGGTTCGATTCTGGTCAAGGGCATGTACCTTGGTTGCGGGCATATCCCCAGTAGGGGGTGTGCAAGAGGCAACTGATCGATGACTCTCTCTCATCGATGTTTCTAACTCTCTATCTCTCTCCCTTCCTTTCTGTACAAAATCAATAAAATATATTAAAAAAAAAAAAAAAAAAAGAACTGATATGTGGACCCAGATCAGAATGACTCAAAAGCCCAAATTTTCCACTACACCATCTGGACCAGAGGTCGCCAACCTTTCAGACCTCCTATCCGTGGACTACCAGTTGGCGATTACTGATCTATACTATCTGGGTCAGGATCGTTATTTCAAGTTTTAAACATGAAAAGTGATCAAGGGGAAAAAAGGAAGATGACTAAATTGAAAAATTATTTTTTTTTTGCTCTCAAATCTATAACAAAATGATTAAGATACTTTAAAATGACAATAGTTGGCCGAAACGGTTTGGCTCAGTGGATAGAGCATCGATCTGCGGACTGAAAGGTCCCAGGTTCGATTCCGGTCAAGGGCATGTACACTGGTTGTGGACACATCCCCAGTAGGGGGTGTGCAGGAAGCAACTGGTCGATGTTTTTCTCTCATCGACATTTCTAGCTCTCTATCCCTCTCCCTTCGGCTCTGTGAAAAATCAATAAAATATATTTTAAAAAATAATAAAATAAAATGACAATAGTTGGTCATGAAACCATGCAATTGTGTTATAAACACTAGTATTAAGTACCTTTGCCAGTTTCTCAGGGATAAGTTCTTCTTTTGGACCTCCAATTTCCTCATCATCATCATCCTTCTTCTTTTTTTGATTTCTCTGCTGCTTTTCTTTTTCTGCATTTTTTTTCTCTTCCTCTAGCTGGGCTTTCTTCTGAGCTCTTCTTTGTTTATTACGTAGTTTCTTTAGTTCTTTATCAGACATGTTTGCTATAGGCAATAAGTGTTAATTAACAGAACTGTAAGACTATTAATCAGATTAGTAATGATAATTTCTAAATATTCTCATACAAACTCCCATAAATATTACCTTATATATGTTCATATGCCAATGTGTACCTAGCCTTTTAATGGCTCCACAATTTGACAGAAAACCCTATAACAACTTCAAAAAAATTTTGAAAACAGGTGAAGACTTGGTGCTGTAACCACAGCAAAGCATAAAAGTATAAAAGTTCCTACATCAATATCAAACTACTTAACAATTTTAGGAATATAACAAGTTGTTTCATATCTCTATGGTTTTCTACTATGCTTTCTCCTAGTCATGTCTTCTCTTACCTTGTCAAACTTACTCATTCTCTACTCTGTGCTGCCAATGACAAAGCACTGGTGCTTTATTTGATTAATAACAGAATGGAGCAAAAGTAGGTTTACCGTTGTCCGTATGGAAAATAAATTAATAAATAATAATACAATAATACAGTTTCAAGTAACACCCGGAAGCAGCAGCTGGAACGGAGCCGGCAGCAATAAGCAGGGACATGCGGCCAATATCTGCAGTGCCCCATCGCGGGGAGATGGAACCAGGCAGCTGGGTCCGCATCTCGGTGGAGTACTGTGAACCCTGCGGCTTTGAGGTGACCTATTTGGAGCTGGCAAGCACCGTAAAGGAGCAATACCCTGTCATCGAGATCGAGTCGCGCCTGGGGGGTACAGGGGCCTTTGAGATCCGGATCAATGGACAGCTGGTGTTCTCTAAGCTGGAAAATGGGGGCTTCCCTTACAAGAAAGATCACATTGAGGCCATCCGGGGGCCAGTAACGGAGAATCCCCAGATCACCAACAGCCATCCTCCCTGTGTCATCCTGTGACTACATGGGATTCCAGGTTCCTGTTATGTTCTGGGATACAAGCCTTGGTTTCCTCTTTGCTCCTGTTGAGGGTTCCCTTCAGCCTTTTTCCGCTAACTTAGCTCCAGGTAGCTGAGAACCTGGCCTCCACTTGGCCCCTTTGGGTACCAGGAGGGAATAGAAACTTCCATTGGTCTGGAGGGTGGAGGGCCTCTCCACTGATATTATCACAGCCACTTTGTACTCCCTACCAGGGATCAGTGTCCACAAAAGCTTGCTCCCCGCTCCAGCCTAGCTACATCTGTAAGAGGTCATTATAGTACTAATATATTTTCTACTAGACCCAGGCATAGTCTGCTATTGGCAATAAACTGGCATTACAAACAAACAAAATATAGTTTCATGTAATCACAACAGTAGGCCTACTTTTGCCCCACCCTGTATTTTGCTTGTCACAAAACTTGGTGTGTACATGTGTCTCCGATTTAGATTTTTGAGCAAGTTGGTAGCAGAGACCGTGTTTTATTTATAATCTTTGTATTTTCAGGGCCTCACAGCATACCAAAATACACACAAAAAAAACCATGAAATAATTGCTAATGAACTAATGATAAATTAAAACAAGGACACTGGGCCTTAGCCTTAGAGGGTCAGACTGTGGACTGAAGGGTTCCATGTTCAATTCCAGTCAAGGGCAAATACAAAGAACTACCCTAAAGTGAATATGTAAAGTATATGTATACATAAAACTCTGGAAATTACAATTGTGTATAAAGGAAACTGCACCTTTCATAGAGATAATCATTTGAAAGGAGATAACCTTTGGGCAGGAGAAAAGTGAAAGATTTCTCATATTTACTAAGGATACTTCTGAATTGTTTCATGTTGTATAGTTAATTGTGTGTTATTTGTACAACATGAGAAAGAGTAGAAAGCCAGGACATGTGAACAAAAAGGTAAACAATAAAGTCAGGGGATCTCAGCTCTCAGCTTCAACTATAAATTGTCCGGTAGAATCTTACTGGTATCTTTTTTAAACTTGAAGAAACAACAGGTAGCAACAGATTCTAGAGAACCTGTACAATGATTTTAATGTGTGACCTTAGAAATTTCTAAACTCTTCTTGCCTACCAGGAAATAAAATTTAATCATGAAAAAAAAAATTTAATCATGAATTAACAACAAAAACTCCAAAGGTATTTAGCAGGAGGAAGAATACACAATGCAACCAACTATAATATCAGAAGACAAATAAATTTAGGATTAAAGAAAGAAATCTAACACACTCTTTATGCCTCAACTCCTGTAACATTTTTGTCATCAGTCACAAAATATTTGGACATACAATTAATTTATATCCTTTTACATGTATGCTAGATCACTTTCATTCTGAGATTATTTTCCCAATAATTATCTAAGAAAGATTTCTCATTACATATACTGACACCCTGCCATGAAAAAGGCAATTATTAAGCCCAGCCAGCATGACTTAGTGGTTGAGTGTCAACCTATAAACCAGAAGAATGACATGGTTTGATTCCTGGTAGGGCACGTGCCTAGGTTGCGGGTGTGCAGGAGGCAGGATTCTCTCTCATCACTGATGTTTCTCTCTCTCTCTCTCTGAAATCAATAAGAATATATATATATCCAAAACCGGTTTGGTTCAGTGGACTCAAGGGTCCCGGGTTCAGTTCCGGTCAAGGGCATGTACCTTGGTTGCAGGCATATCCCCTGGGGGTTGGGGAGGGGGAGGTGCAGAAGGCAGCTGATCGGTGTTTCTCTCTCATTGATGTTTCTAACTTTCTATTCCTCTCTGTAAAAAAATCAATAAAATATACATTTTTAAAAGAATATATATATTTTTTAAAAGAATATATATATATATATATATATATATATATATATATATATATGGCATTTTAAAAACTGATCAAATGACAAAATAAAAAAAATAAAATAAAATAAAATAAAATAACAACTGGTCAAATGATAAATCACTAGACAATTTTAATAGCTTAATTCCAAGCTGGCTTTTAATTTTCAAGCAATATTCATCTTTTAGTGGGTTAATTACAAATTATTATTAAAAAGAGGAATAACTAGACATACTGGCAGTCAACATTAATGTAGAATGCCAACATTATTTTATAGTTAGCAAATTATAGTACTGGAGCTAGCAATTTACAATATTGAATAAACCAATTATTAAATGTAAAACACACAAAAGTCAACTTCTTAAAAGCTAATGATCAGTTACAAATTCTTAACTTTTGAAAATATAAAGTAAACAGTGCTTTTTTAAAAAGTATGTATTTTTAGCCAAAACTGGTTTGGCTCAGTGGATAGAGCGTCGGTCTGCAGACTGAAAGGTCCCAGGTTTGATTCCGGTCAAGAGCATGTACCTTGGTTGCGGGCACATCCCCGATAGGGGGTGTGAGGAGGCAGCTGGTCAATGTTTCTCTCTCATCGACGTTTCCAGCTCTCTATCTCTCTCCCTTCCTCTCTGTGGAAAATCAATAAAATATATTAAAGATACATATATATATTTTTTTTATTGATTTTAGAGAGGAAGGAGAGAAACATCAATGATGAGAGAGAATCATTGATTGTCTGCCTCCTGCACACCCCCTACTGGGGATCAAGCCCACAACCCGGGCATGTGACCTGAACCAAACCTGGGGCCCTTCAGTCCACAGGCAGATGCTCTATCCACTAAGCAAAACTGGCTAGGGGAATAGTATTTTTCTTTTGTTGTTTAGAGAAATTCACAAAGTGAGTGTCATCATTTTCTAAGCTTGTATACCTTCAGTATTCTCTGGATCTTCCCCCCCCCCCACCAGATACCAAAATCCCCGGATATTGAAGTCCATTATATAATGAAGCAGTATTTACATGTAGACTACAACATGATATGACCAAACATCACTTTGTTTACATGGATTCAGTACAGTGCTTTGGCACATGATAAATTCAAGTTTTACATTGAATGGTTGCCTCCTGTGCACCTGACTGGGGATCGAACCTACAACCCAGGAATCAAATCCATGACCTTTTTTATTTAACAAGGAATGATGCTCCAACCAAATAAGCAACCTGGCCAGGGCCACCAAGCAACCCATGTTTGGTTGAATCCACAGATGCAAAACCCACAGATGTGAAGGGCTGGTTATAGTATCTTCCCAGAAATGCTTAACAAACTGCTCAGGAAAAATTTATATATTACACAAAAACATAAATACACATACTCATACACAGCAAATAATAAGAGTTCTTTGTATATTATACCATACCTGTATCAGCTTCACGTTCTTTATTCTCATCTGTAAGGGGGTTGTCATGAAGCTTCAAATAGATCTCTATAGCAATTCTTGCTGCCTTGAAGTAAAATGGATGCTGTCGAAGTACATCTTCTAGTTTTAATAAGTCCACATATGATCTAAGGGTAATCTTCCTCATACAGTATGTATGAAAGTCAAACTGGTCATCAGTGATTTCTATAAAATGCTAACAAAATTGTCTTTTTTATTACATTGAAATAGAGCAATACCAAAGAAAACTACAAAACTCAAAGCCTTGGAACTAGTGTTTTAAGCATAAAAACATTAGTAAAATAACATAAAAAGTTACAATCATTGAATATACCAAAATTTTGCAAATAAGCAAATATAATTGACCATCATCAATTAGCAAAATATATACATATACAAAGCACTGAATTACTTGTTATATAAAAAGGAAACATAATGCTTTAAAGCATTTATTTATTCCTTTCTTAATTATCCTATAAAATAAAGAGTTAATATGCTAATTAGACTGACCAACAGGACGACCTTCTGGACAACCTTCCAGCAACCACCCAGACACCTTCCGTACAAAACCGGGGCTGCAAGGGCCACACAAGGCTACAAGGGGCTGAGTCCCTTGCACAAATTTCATGCATCGGGCCTCTAGTACTTATATAAAACTATCATGATAAACAGTATACGTAATGATGTAATATAGTAAGATTTGCATAAACATTCAATTTTTACATTTAGAACGATTTGTAAAATATTATAATATTCAGTATTTGGTAACTTTTATAAGGATACCAATATGAATGCTATGAAATAGTAATGCTAGTATGTAGAAATCAGCAAGTAAATCAGGCAACCAGAAGCTAACACAATTCAACTAAGTTCTGGGGTGCTCCTATTAACAAAAGAAGCATAAAATTATACAATATAATCTATTTTTACCTGGGGGGAAAAAAACACAAAAAATAATCAAAAGTGAAGAGGACTATGAAAACAATGAATTTATAAAATATGAGGAATTACACAGGCATGTGGTTGGCAAACTGCGGCTGGCGAGCCACATGTGGCTCTCTGGCCTTTCTTTGGCCCCTTGAATGTATGTGGCTCTTCCACAAAATATCACATGCAGGCATGCATATACAGGGCAATTGAAACTTTGTGGTCCATACGCAGAATTCGGTTTCCGCCCTGGGCAAGTCTATTTTGAAGAAATAGTGTTAGAACACTCAATGGAACCAAAGAGCCACATGGGGCTTGCGAGCCGCAGTTTGCCGACCACTGACGTAGGCTATTTAAATATTGTAAAAAGGCTTCAAAGCTCCCATCTCATAAATATCAAGGGAATATGGTATCCCTAATCAAATCTATGACAAAACAGGTTTCTAGGATAACTTAATGAACTTTGTATATGTTACTAAAGGAACAGCAGCTATTTCAAAGAAACATTAAAAAAAAAAAATCAATGAAAACATAAAATACAAACTTTCCATAAATATTTTTACATGAATTCTTGCAGGAAGAGTAAGCAATGGGAAAGTCTGCAGAAAATGCAGTCTATAATATTTTCGTTATAAAAACTGAAAAATGTAAATACTAATATTTAGAAATCACTTACTGTAACTTATAAAGAGGGGAGGAAATGGGATTTACTCCAAATCTTTAATATTTAAGAAAGTAAAATGAAAAACTTGTATGTTCAGGGTACTTACTCTCTCAATTTCATGACATTTCTTAAGTGCTTCACCAAATTTATTCATTGTCTTATAAGCTTGGGCACATTCTGTCTGGAACCACATGCATTGCATTTCATTCAAATTCTCTACTGCTGATGTTCCTTCCTATGTGAAAATCATACATATTCAAGAACATTTCTTACCAAATACATTATTCTACCACAGGATTTCAGAAAAATTTGGTTGAGTGATCTGAATTATTTCAAAATCATTTTTTAACCCATTCTTAAATTAAGAGGGAATAGTTAAAATGTGAAAGAAACTGATATTTCCTATTTCAAAAAATATTTCTAACCACACAAAAAATATGTACCTTTGTAAACAACTAATCAAAATGTCTATATAATTGGGTTAGAGAGTAACTTAAGAAACAGAACACTAGGCACATAGCAGTTACTCAATTAATATTAATTTCTTTCATCTCTAAAAAAATTAATCTGATCATCCATCAATATAAATCAGAGTTTCAAAACACATTGTACAACCATCTAAAAAGTTAGTAATGTTTTATAGTAACATTGATTTCAATTTTTTGCTAATAATGTGACTTAAAATCCAGACTATTTTTAAAAAATATATATTTTATTGATTTTTTACAGAGAGGAAGGGAGAGGGATAGAAAGTTAGAAACATCGATGAGAGGGAAACCTCGATTAGCTTCCCCCTGCATATCTCCCACTGGGGATGTGCCCACAACCAAGGTACAAGCCCTTGACCGGAATCGAACCCAGGACCCTTCAGTTTGCAGGCCAATGCTCTATCCACTGAGCCAAACCATTATTGGCAAAATCCTGACTATTTTTATGTTAAAAACATTAAAAACTGCCCCGCCAGTGTTGCTTGGTGGTTGAGCACTGACCTATGAACCAGAAATTCACAGTTTGATTCCAGATCAGGGCACATGCCTGGGTTGCAGGCTTGATACCAAGTAAGGGGCATGCAGAAGGCAGCCAATCAATGGTTTTACCTCATCATTGATGTCTCTCTCTCTTTGAAATCAATAAATATATTTTTTAAGATATATATTAGAACCAAACTTTGACAATAAGTAAGGTATACAAGTATGAACTGTTTATTTTTAAGACTATTAGCTGTACAAACCCTTGTAAACTTTGAGCACATTTCTTCAGCCTCTTTTATCAGATTGGCTTTTAGCATATATTTTGCACACTTGGAGTTGATAAATCTGTCTGCTGTATCCAAAGCTTGAGCCTCATCCATCCATCTTGCAGCTTCTTTAATATTCCCAGCATGCTTACAGGGTACAAAAACGAAATAAACCAGTCAGTATGCTAACATTCCTATGCAAGTTATCTATTGATAAACGACTGAAATCACAAGTGAAAGGTATTCTTCTGACTAATCAATGCAGATGCATAAATTCTGCTATAAGTTCTGATACTTTTCTGGCCATGTAGAATATAGGCTCTCTAATAGTAAAGACTTATTTTAATATTATTGACAACTGTTATAACCTCATTGCCTACAATAGAGCTAGCACACAGTAAATACTCAAAAGTAATGGTTGAATCAAAGAATAATAATTTAAACCTTTAAGTGAGAACAACATTAAATGTAAAGGTCATAAAAGGCAAAGGGATGACCAATTTCTACCCAAAGGAACCATGGAAACATTACTGATTAGGACCATTAGTGAACATTCCACAGTGATCCCAACTAGTCCATTTGGCAAAGCCACAAAACTAATGAACATAACCTGGCTTTGAAAAGTGCTTTTAAACATTACTTGATTTCTTTCTTTTTGGTAAATAAGTTATTGGTTCCCCAGTAAGTTTTATTACTAACTTATATTTGTATTTTAATATAATTTATTTTATTTTAAGATGATATTATCGCTTCTCGACCTTTTGGCTAAGATCAAGTGTATTTTAAGATGATATTAAAACATATGTTTAGAAATTCTCATACAAGACCCAAGAATTGAGGAGGCAAAAGATATAATATGTAAAATTCAGAATAGAATCTTTAGTTTAATTTCATTAACATTACCAGATATTGATATATGATCAAACTCAAATGTTAACAGAAACAAATATTTCACAGCAAACATAATTATTTGCTTACCTACACTCTTACTACTTAAAACCAAGAAAATAAGCAGATACATATGTGTGAGAATGTATGAAAATATATAACCACATATAAATAACCATATATCTGTGTATAGATAGATAGATATGAGTGATCCAATTAGCATAACCATGACAAGTGCAACAATAGTCAGACTAAGAATGTACTATACCTGTTACTTCATGTTTTATGACCTGTCAAATAGTCATTGTTCTTATAGCACTAAGAATCAATAAAATATAGAAAAAATTTCTAAGTTCATTACTCTATAAGAAAAAAAGGGAATAGATTTTTACCTTATAGATTTTAGCTTTCACAAGGAAGAGTTCTATCAACGTAGGTGTACTTTCAATAGCAGTATTTATGTATTCAAGAGCGATAGATGGCTGACCAATTTTGTCATAATGTTGTGCCAAGTAGTACTGAACCCAAAGTAATGTGGTTGGCGGTTCCTCTTTTCCATCATCTTTAAAAAGTAGGGGAGACGGGTAGAAGAGTAAAGAAACCAAGATTAGTCAAGATTAGTCATTATATATATCTATATTAAGAGGATACCCACATCAAAATGGGCATTTTATCTTTATTAATAAAGTAGTTTGAACCATGTCACTTAGGAAACTACTGCAAAATTACCGCTAAATGTACTAGTATAAGATCTTTGAATAGGATCACACTTTGTTCTGTATCTAGCACCTAGCCCAATTCCTTGCATTTAGTAAGAACTTTACATAATAAATATGGTGGGTACATGAAATCAAAGCTATATTACCTAAAAGGAAACTGAAACGGGTGGGGAAAGACAAGTTGTACTAGAACTATGAGGAATTTATATATGAGGGGAAAAAAGGCAAAAGAAATTTTCCATTAATGTGAGGTTAAAAAAAAAAAGAACAAGGCCCAACTGTTTAACTGGGTTTCTCACTATATACTGAAATATAGATATATTTATGATGTGGTTAAATTCTGGTGATTATAATATTCTTGATATATATTAATACTACGATGAATATGCAACAATTCATAATTGGGGTAGAATAAGAACTATATACAAAAAAGTTATCTTTTAGTAAATAAGTAAAAATATTTATTCTATGTTTTATTTCATAATTTAACTTTTATATACTCATAAGAAAATGTGTAGGTTAAATACACAACCCACACATTAAAGAGTGCTTTTATAACACAAATTTCTAAAATCGGAGAATTGTTCTTTGCTTTCAAAGAAAGCAATAGACTACATATTTTTTTCCTGGTAAAAGTAGGATGGCTCAGTGGACAAACAATAGGAGTGGAACTCACCAACTCCCGATCTGATAGATCTGCAACTAAATGCTGCATATTCTTGGGCATGTCATTGAACCTCTTCCACATTTGTAAAATATGTAGGAAAATGCTGACAACCAAAGGAATATTATGATGATTAACCAATGAAACCATGGTAACGCCTTCTAAATAGTATAAAAATTAATCTGAGACCTAGAAATTATGATGAAACCAATAGCAGTGAGCACCCCAGGTCCCATATTGGGCTTTCCCACTGCAAGAACCAGGGCTCCTTGGGGGGAAAAACAATTGATTACAGGTCCATTATGGGCAGTGTATAAGATAAACTGGAATAATCAAATTGCAAGGAAGCTATCAACTACTACCATGGTATAAGAAGGCTAGAACCACTGAAACTGCAATGACTTGCCCTAGCTGATTTGGCTCAGTGGGTAGAGCATCAGCCTGCAGACTGAAGGGTCTCAGGTTCGATTCCCGTCAAGGGCATGTACGTTAGTTGCGGGCACATCTCCGGTAGGGGATGTGCAAGAGGCAGCTGATCGATGTTTCTCTCTCATCAACGTTTCTAGCTCTCTATCCCTCTCTCCTCCTCTCTGTAAAAAATCAATAAAATATATATATTTTTTAAAATTGCAAAGACATAAAACAGCAAATATGTTTAAACCCAGGAATTCATAATACCTTTCAAACATGTACTAGCCATCTTTGAAGGATGCTACAAACTAAATCAATTCATTATTTTGAAAACTGGTAAAGAATGGAGAAGAGGAGAAACCAAGATGGCGACATAGGTAACCACCTAACTGCAGCCTCACACAACAATTTCAAAATATACAACCAAAATATAAAGTGGACAATATCCAGAACTACAGGAAAATTGACTGACTGGAAATTCTACGAGAAGGAAAGAGAAAACCAGAAGGAAAATCAGAGGAGCTGTAAAAGCATAAGGTACAGAGACACGTTGCGCGCGGAGAGGACGGAGCCGGAGAGAAGGGGCAGCTGAGTGCCTGGCTGATGTTCCCTAGCAGGAAGGAGATAAAAGCTCCGGACTGTGCTAAACCCCAGTTCCGACAGCACTGAACCCCAGTACTGGGCAAGACCCTCAGGCCTCGGTTCATACAGAGGGAATCTGGCCTGTAAGGCTGAAGCTCAGGGGAGCAGCGACAGGCAGAGCCCCGGAGTCGTGCACATTGTGCACAGAGGACTGACTGTTGACTATGCTGCTAGATTGCCCTAGCAGGAAGGAGACATAAGCTCCGGACTGCTCTTATCCCCAATTCCAACTGCACTGAACCCCAGTTGCGGGCTCTTTGGGGGAGAGACTAGAATGGTAGCGGGCGAAACTCAAGGGCACCTTTCTCTCAGAAGTGCTTGAAGCGAGTAACAAAGCAGTGAGTACCGAAGGACAATGAGGAACACTGAGACTCAGAAACCTCATAGGGTGGGGCTAACCGAAAGCCAATGCTGTAGGCTCCACCCTGAAACTCCGCCCCATCCAAGCTGAGCACAGAGGCTCTTGCAGTTTTCCAAGTCTAGTCAAATAAGGCTGTCTCCTGGCATAGGCACAGGTGATCCTCCCACCCTACCAACTCAGGGAAGCAGTGAAAATGCTGAGACAAAGAAACAGATCACAAACGAAAGAAATGGAGGACAAAAAGCGACTGGATTTAGAGTTCAAAACCACGCTTATAAGGTTTTTCAAGAATCTCCTAGACAAGGCCGATAAAATAAACAAGACCTATGAAGATATGAAAAGGGATCAACTAGAAATAATAAGGGATCAACTAGAAATAATAAGGGATCCACAAGAAATAAAGAATACATTCTCTGAAATAAAAAATATTATACAGAGTCCTAAAAACAGAATGGAAGATTGCAAGAATCAAGTCAAAGACTTGAAACACAAAGAGCCAGAGGACAGTCCTCCGTAGAGGCAAGAAGACAAGAGAATCCAGCAAGTTGAAGATAATGTAAGAAAACTCTGGGACAACTTCAAGCAAAGCAACATCAGAATTATGGGGGTCCCAGAAGATGAGAGAGAACAAGATATGAAAATATACTGGAAGAAATAGTGACAGAAAACTTTCCCCACCTGGTGAAAGAATTAGACTTACAAGTCCAAGAAGTGCACAGAACTCCAAACAAAAGGAATCCAAAGTGGACCACACCAAGACATATCATAATTAAAATGCCAAGAGGAAAAGACAAAGAGAGAATATTAAAAGCAGCAAGAGAAAAGCAGGTAGTTACCTATAAAGGAGCACCCATACGATTGTCAGCTGATTTCTCAACAGAAACCATGCAGGCCAGACAGGAATGGCAAGAAATATTCAAGGTGATAAATAACGAGAACCTACAGCCTAAAATACTCTACCCATCAAAGCTATCACTCAGAATCGAAGATCAGATAAAGAGCTTCACAAATAAAAAAAAGCTAAAGGAGTTCATCACCGGCAAACCAGAATTATATGAATTGTTGAAGGGGGTTCTTTCGGAAGAGAATGAAAATAAAGATAAAAATTATGAACAACAAATATGTAACTATCAACAAGTGAATCTAAAAACCAAGGGAATTAAAAAAAAATCTGATGAACAATATTAACTGTTGAATATAATAGAATCAGAGGACGGAAAGGGAGTGGACTGACAATTCTTGGGGAAAAGAGGAGAGTGGGGGCTGTGGGAAGAGCCTGAACAAAAACTGTGCACCTATGGATGAGGACAATGGGGGGTGGGGAAAGGGCAGAGGGTGGGGTGAGAACCTGGTGGAGGGGGGGAAAATGAGGAACTTTTGTAATAATATGAACAATAAAGATTTATTTTTTCTTAAATGGAGGAGAGGGGGAAAAAAAGGTAGAAGAGGCAGGGAGAAAAAGCAGCATTTATCTTATTTTTCCTATGCATAATGAAATACTGGATAAGCACAAATAGATGGAAAAAATTTACTTTTATAAGGTAACAAAAAATGAATGCTGGAATATAATCAGTTTATAATTTCTACCAGTTGCTAACATGTACAACAAATACTATATTTCTCTTGATGGAAGAACATACCACCACCCATCACATCTTCTAAATCTCATCAAGCCTCTGTCCATTAGAAGTGTCTGTGATGATGGACTTGTCCTGTATTTGCCCTGTCCAATAGGCAGTCACTTCAGATGGCTATTGAGCAGCATTTAAAATGAGGCTATTGCAAATGAGGAACTGAATTTTTAATTTTTTATAGCCACATGTGGCTAATGGCTATCAATTTAAAACAATTGTACATCCAACTACCAATTTATAATAAATTCTGAGAATAGAGGAATAATACGTTAAACACCACCATGGGAGTACAGTCAGCAAAATCTAGACTATAGAAAAACTCAAGAATATCTAATTTCTTTAACCAAAAAGTTGCAGGAAGAAGAGAAGATAGGAAAAAAGCCTATAGATTAAAACAGAGTTAAAAGCCAAAACCAGTTTGGCCCAGTGGATAGAGCGTCGGTCTGAGGACTGAAAGGTCCCAGGTTCAATTCCGGTCAAGGGCATGTACACTGGTTGCATGCACATCCCCCATAGGGGGTGTGCAGGAGGCAGCTGGTCGATGTTTCTCTCTCATCAATGTTTCTAGCTCTCCATTCCTCTCCTTTCCTCCTTGTAAAAAAATCAATAAAATATATTTATTTAAATAAATAAATAAGAGAGTGAAGAGACTAATCAACCAAATTCACAATATAGATTTCAGTTGGTTCTTCATTCAAACTATTTTTGAACACAAAAAGAAAAAAATGATGTGTCTAAGAAAGCTGAAAATATAAGCATGGACCTTTTTTTCTTTGATATTAAGGAAGTATTAATGTTCAGGTGTGGTGATGATATTATGGCCACCATCTTTAGAATAGTAAAATATTCATCAATGAAATTATGTGATGTTTGGGATTGCTTCAGAATAACATGGCAGTAGAAGGAAATAGGTAAGAATATAAATGAAAAAAGTTTGGCCAGGCAATAAAAGTAACTGGAGCTAGGTGGTAGGTAAATGGATAATCATCTATTTTGGAGATGGTTTTAATTTTACATAAAATGTGTTTAAATAAGCTAATATAATTTTCTCCCTTCCAAAATATTTTCATACAATGTTTAAATTAATGCATCTCTAGCATAAAGGGGAAAATCATTTACATTTACTAAACTTATTGCCTAAATAAGGAACAGTAATGATCTTCTAATTAAGAATTTCATAGTACATTAAAAAATTCAAGATATTTTTTAAACCAAAACTTGAAAACTTACCATTGGGGTTAAATAACCGGCAGCTTTTTAAAGAAGTTTCATAACCTACTACTAATTCTTCTATGATTGCCACCTAGAGTACAAATACACAAGCACACTTTAGTAAAAAATTTATATATATTTATATATTTTATATATATGTCATGTATATATGTCATATATGTATGTATGTATGTATGTATGTGCAAAATGTATAATTCACTTTTAAAGGGCTACATAAACATTCACACACACTTTTATAAATCTCTTAATCTATAGATAAAAATTTAAAACCAAGTCCCCAGCCAGTGTGGCTCAATTGGTTATCACCCCATGCACCAAGAGGTCACCAGTCTGATCTCTGGTAGGAGGCATGCAGGAAGCAGCCAATTAATGTTTCTATCTCTTTCTCCCTCTCCATTTCTCTCTCTCTAAAAATCAATAAAAACATATTTGTTAAAAGCTTAAAGGCAAGTAAACCATATGTCTTGTGTATAAGACATAGCTTTTAAAAAACTTACTGGCAACTCCTTTCCCTGCTAGAAAATAAAGCATCGAATTGAACTAGAAATCAAGAAAAGGTTGGACAAAAAGAAGTAGTGTTGTGGATGATTTTTATCTCAATCCATATAAATAAAATCCAAATTAGCATTTATTCTTCAAAAATCAAAATTAAATACTATGTGAAACAAACTCTCAATTTCATAATCCGGAGGAAAGCATTAATAAAAATCAACATAGAACAGTAGATGGGTTTCTGAGGTCCAGGAGACTGAGTGGGTATCCATGTTCTTCTGGCTTCTCCTGAGTCATGACTATATTACTTATTCCTATCTTCCTAAGAAAGCTTATTAAATTGACTTCTATTACTACAGAAGCTCTCTTTAATGACCTCAACTTAATTGATCCAATAGATTAACACTAGCTCTCTCCATTACCTCAGAAAATTGTGAGAATGAATGGCCACAGCTAGGTTATTCTGGTGCGCCCATGTTCTTCTGGTCCCACAAGTTGAGCTACATGCTTACTAAGTTTTGTTTTCCCAAACCTGTTTAAATCAGTTGCATTTATTATCATCATTATAAAATTTAATTCAGTATTATGTAAACTTAAGAAATGAGAAGAAAAGAACTGTTTCTGTAAGTTGAGTACTGTGGAAAGACTCAGAATAAATTAGATATTTTTAACCAATTTAGATTTAAATGAGACAACCATATATACCATTAAAATAGATAGGAATTCTACAATTAAAACTGCTTTTGCAATCATCAAGTTCTCTAGCCAAACTGAAAATAACAGACCACATTTTATAAATGTGATTTATGCAAGATAAAAAAAGCGAAAGTCATCAATAAAGCCCATGCCTTGGGCCTCGCAACAAAAGACTGGCAAATAAGTGTACCTTATGTGCTTTAGGTTAGTGTTTAGCATGTTTAATTTGTCCCATCTTTCTGATTCTTCACTGTAACTGATTTTTTTTAATCCAACCAACATGTCTTGATGCCACTGTACTTGCAAGCAAAATAATCTAAATTAAGATCAAAACATCCTCTTAACAAGCATTTGAATATTGTAATATATAGCTAAAAGAGTAAGTTAGCTTATTGGGACAGCAAATAAACTCTTCTGACAGAACTTCTTATACTAAATAAAAAGGAGACATATTACTGAGCTAAAACTTAATTTAAAAAAAGAAACCACTTCTGAGTTTCACCATGAGCAGAGATTAGAAAAATCCCTACACTAACTTAAAACAAATAAGTACTAAATTATTTGGATAAAGAAAGAAGAGGCACAGGTGCATTTAAACTATGAGCTAGGAAGACTGATACTAGATTCATGAAATGTGTACTATGTGCACAGATAAGCAAGAATCAATTATTTCAAATACTAAGCAAAGAAATTATAGTTTTTTTAAAAAGTATTTTGCTTTACCTTTTCTTTATCTTTGTATAATGACCTCAAAGTATTGAAGACTGGTGGACAACCTTTGCTGAAGTTCATCCTTAAGAACTTATCCAAACATTCCTTAAACTTCTCACCTTGGAAGAAAAAAATCCTGTTGACTTATAATTACCCAGACAACTCTAACAATGCCTACAATATGCACCCTTGTATGTTTAAAGTGAAGGAAACTGTAAATCATACTATCCTTGTCATCCCCTTGCAATTATACTCACCACATAAAAAGTTTAATGGCAGTCTTCTTGGCACCAGTCCTCTGGGATATTTAGTCCAGGCCTCCTCATAAATTTTTAGTCGTTCTAACATAGTAGCTGCAGACCCCAAAAAAATATTTTTATATTTAAGTATATTATATTTTTCTAACAAATTACAAATTTCTCAAGGTATATAAATAGGATATTAAACAAAATTTGCAGATGGGAAGAAAATTATTTATAATCTAACCATTTAAATGTATCAGTAATCATTTCAGAATATTTACTTCCTTCTAATATTTTCACATTTTAAATATCTATACTCATATAAAATACATAACTTTCTTTATCCTCTTCTATTCTATGCAGCTTTTCAAAATCTGAGGACTGCTGTACTCTAGTTCTGAGAATGGCTCAATTATTGTATTTCCATGGATGGTTTCTTCCACTATTCTCTTCAACCTCTCCTTTTCTTTCTTCCTTTTTTTTTTTAATGACCGGATATATCTTGTTCTTTATTTATGTTTAAATATGTTTTTATTGACTTTTAGAGGATGGGAGAGGGATAGAAACATCAATACAAGAGAAACACCATTGTTGGGCTGCCTCCAGCATGCCACCACTAGGGATCTAGACCACAACCCAGGCATTGGGGATTGACTGGGAATTGATCTGGTGACCTCTTGGTTCATGGGTTGGTGCCTAACCACTGAGCAACACCTGCTGGGGCAACCTCTCCTTTTCTAACTCCTATCCTCTGATTTACTTTGGAGCTTCTAGATCTGTCCCCTACCTTCCATTTCTCTTTATTTCTTTTGTATTTTCTCTTTTACATTCAGCTGAGGCTTCTCTCAGTTCATCAATCTTTTACTTCACTAATTTCCCCTCAGTTGTGGCCTCTCTTTTATTCAATCAAGAGTCTTAAGTTGCTAAGTACTAGGTTTTTCGTTTCCCAGATTCCTAATGATATTTTCTCATCACTATTCATATTTCATGGCTGCCATTCCCTGTCCTTATTCATGAGCTGGTGTTCTAGGATAGCATGACACTGTCACAAAGTTCCTCCTGCATATCTTATTGTATCAGAAATGGCTCAATACCAGTCTTGAGAGAAACATAGCTTCAAATCAGATTCTCTTGGCTGAGGAACAGGCATGCCTATCCATAGATAACATGTTTCTGGGCCTATCCTCACAAGTGGGTCCTGTTCATGGGAGAGGGTAATGGAGGAAATTGGGGAGGAGAGGAGGGAAGTCTCAAAAGCCAAATTTATTTGAGTGATGGAAATGTAGTCCCTCTTCCCACATTGCAGCTATATTCATGTGCCCCGGCAGGCGATTCTGCTGTGGCCACAGGTTACCACAGAAATTATGTTTGCTTCTTTCCTTTACGGAGACATCTTCATTTCTGACCATGGAAATTTCCCCTTCATGCTTCTGCTGCTGCATTTGTGAATTTTTTACATTTGATTTTTAAAAAGATTTTAAATTGATTTTTAGGAAGGGAGGGGCAGGGAGAGAGAGCAACATCAATGTGAGAGACACACATAGACCAGCTGCCTCCTGCACACCCACTACCAGAGACCAAGCCTGAAACCCAGACATGTGCCCTAACTGGGGAATTGAACCAGCAATCTTGGTACATGTGACTGCCCAACCAACTGGCCAGGGCACATTTGTAAATTTTTAAAAGTTGCTTCTAAATTTTCCTCTCAACTATTTCTATGAATTTATGTAGCAGTTTCAGAAAATGCTGTTTGCCATATTAAATGGAAGTTTATAAATGTACTTTTGTATTCAGATTCGGATCCAATTCTTAACTACTTATTTTTCTAGTTATGCTTTTGGATGAGTTAATAAAACGCATGTTAATAAGCCGAAACCAGTTTGGCTCAGTGGATAAGTGTCGGTCTGCGGACTGAAAGGTCCCAGGTTCGATTCCGGTCAGGGGCATGTACATTGTTTGTGGGCACAACCCCGGTGGGGGGGGTGCAGGAGGCAGCTGGAAGAAGTTTCTCTCTCATTGACATTTCTAGCTCTCTATCTCTCTCCCTTTCTCTCTGTAAAGAATCAATAAAAAATATATATATTTTAAAATGCATGTTAATAACAAAAGAAGCAATTAAAACTTAGAGAGTAAATTTTAAATAATGCTACCTGGCTTGAGTGCCTTTTCTAGGCCTTTGTAATAGGCCCAGTTTTCAGGATTTCTCTCCTGTAATCCTCTATATACATCAGCTGCATCTTCCAAGCGACATAACTGCAACAGAAGTTCCCCTGATAAAACACAAATGAAGTTAACTACATATTTTCTGGTTATAATTTTAACTTTTCCTCAAATTTTAAAATCTCCTCAATGTTTAGAAGTAGATGGACTTGGTATCCTCCTGAGTTCCCAACTTCTTCAACAAGACTATTTACCATGTAATATTGTGGTCTCTCCCTTTTTGAAGTTCAAATTTAGAAATGCCATTCTCATCACATCCTTAATTTATTCAGATATTTGTCTAACTCCAAGGTAGTTCTTAAATTCTTTTAACACAATCACCAAACCCATCACCTACTACTTATTTCTGACATCATATGGATAATTTAACATCCAAATTAATGACCTACCCCAATACCCTAAATTTATCATCTTTTAACTATGAAGCTATTCTGCTATAGACCTATATTCATGACATCCAAAACCTGTGTTTTCTAGTGCTTCCAACTACCAAATAGGCATCTTGCTTTAAGCTTAACTTACTTGTCTTCCTCTTTCTGGTCTTACTAATCCTACCCTTCAACCTTACAAAAAAAAAACCACTCCTTTCTTTTCTTTTAGGCCAGTGGTCGCCAACCTTTCGGACCTCACAGACCACTAGTCGTCTGCAGACCACCAGTTGGTGACCAGCTGTTCCAAAGGTTTCCTTAAACCAGCGGTTGCCATGGACCACCAGTGGTCCGTGGGCGATGCTGTTTTAGGCCTTCTCAGCAACCCGTAGACTCATTGCATGTCTTCTCTGGGCTGCACGACCCATCTCGTCCCTGAATGGTTATTAGCAGCCCCAAGTATCAAAATCAGTCTCAAACCTCAGCTCCCTTATTTAGCAATTTAAGGCCTGGATCATCCCAAATTGTTTGTTCCACACCTTCTCACACACAAAAAAGCAAAGTCATCAGATGAATGGACTGAGACACTGTATGAGCTCCAAACTCACGTAAGCCTCAAACACTACTCAAAATTCTTATCCTTAACGGAACAGCTCTTATTGACCAAAAGTATTATTTTCAAACTATAACTTCATCCTTACACCATTTGCTTTCACCAGGTAATAAAATTTAGTGAGTGCTTACTTTATGCTAGTGACTTTGAAATGTTTCACATGCATTAACTAACTCAATTCTCAACTCTATGAGTTAGGTTACCATTAATTTCATAATTTTAAAGCAGAGAGGACTTAATTAAGTACAACTTGCTGAGGGTCATTCAGCTAGTTAATTGTTAGAGTCAGGATTTAAACCCACGCAATTTGGCTGAATGGGTGCATATTCTTAATGTCTATACCAGCAGTTCTAATCAGAGGCACTTTTGCCAACCAGGGAACATTTGGCAATATCTGGAGAATTTTTAGTTGTCACAGTAAAGGGAGGTGGAGGGGAGGATGCTATGGTATCTGATGAATAGAAGCTAGCAATGCTGCTAAACATTCTGCAACATACAGGAGATTTCCACCCCCAACATCTCGGTCCCAAAATCTCAAAAGTGCTGAGATTGACAGCCTGCTTTATATTAACCCAAAGCCTACTTCACTAAGAATATACAAAATATCCTATTTACCACCCATATTTCCTTCCCTTCATCTTCTCCCACATTTTTTTATAAGAGAAGCTGATGGAATAAGAATGAAACTTTCTGCCTATCTATATGCCCACTCCCCTACTTCAAGAGGTTCCCAAATTATCCTGACTACCACCCCACCATTAAAAACAATGCCTTTATTATTGGAATTCCCAAAGATCGATGATTCTACTCTCAGTTCCTTTCTATTCTCTTTATATATATATTGCCCCCAATATCTGACTCACTGCAGGTATTCAACACATTTTATGGAATGAACCAATGGCTCTGTTTCCTCCTTTACTGAGAAAATGAAAGCAATTAGAACTCCCAAATGCCCACTACATCTACACATCCATTTGTCCATATAATCTATCATCTCTTGTTATGGGGGATGAATTAATCATGTTGTTATCTAAGGCTAATCCTTAAACTTATCCACTAGATCATAAACTCTCTACTATAACAAATATTCTGTGTCTACTGGATCATTCTCAAGTAAACATAAGCACATGCTATATATAAAAATATTTTGTTGATCTTGTAACCCATTTTACCCATCAGTTTCCTTATAATAAAGTTATCAAGAGAAGCAAATGAAATACTGTATTCAGAGTAATTTGAAAACTGTCATGTACTTTCATAAAGAAACTGAGGCCCAAGACTTGCCCCTGATCATATAGCTAGTTAGGAGCCAGCCAATCAAGGAATTGAACTATTTTTTCCCCCAATCTAGTGATATTTCCATTAAGTCATAAATCTCCTCCCTTTATAACTAATAGGCCATTAAGAGATGACAACTCAAATGAAAGAGAGCTGTTCGGGATTTATAGTTCATAACTGAGGTTCAGAAACCTTAAATTTCCATTTTTTCTTGCCAGTAGCAATATCATCTGCTCAAAATCCATCTGGCAAACAATGGCTACTTCCAGTTTTATGTAACAGATACCACAGTTTTCTTGTGTTCAACTTCAAGGGAAGCCAATGGAATTTGGAACCAGCAAATTTCAGTTCCCTGGACTAACAAGGGTAAAGCAACATTTTAGATGATAATTCCTAAAAAGTACTTGTATTTTTAATTATTTGTCATTCTTTCATATTCCATTATCACTCCCTCAACTCTTAAAACCATAAAACTCCCTTTTTTTCAGCCCTATAATAAATGGCAGCATTAACGATTTTTATTTAAAAACCTGTCCTCCTACTGCAATACACACATATAAAACCAAATTTCTGATTTCAATTCATGTTCTTTCCATATCCAGATAAACTACAAAGAACTTTAGAAATGCCTCATATAGCCAAAACCGGTTTGGCTCAGTGGTAGAGCGTCGGTCTGCGGACTGAAAGGTCCCGGGTCCGATTCCGGTCCAGGGCATGTACATTGGTTGCAGGCACATCCCGGTAGGCATGAGGCAGCTAGTCGATGTTTCTCTCTCATCGACGTTTCTAGCTCTATCTCTCTCCCTTTCTCTCTGTAAAATATCAATATATTTTTTTAAAAAGAAAAGAAATGCCCCATATATACTTTAGTAAAGATTGATATATCTATATAAGAAATCTGGTATACACATCCTGTTCTACTAAGGTTTCTAAGAAAATTAATCCTATTTTATATAAAAATAAGCAATTACCTCCTGTGTTGTTTTTTTATCAACCCCCTATATTTTAAGATCAAAAATACTTTATTTAAAGAAAAAATATTTTGAGACATTTCATTCAATAATTTTTATGGTTCAACATTTTTTTACCTAAATATTCATTGTTTAAATGTAATTTTCCCAGATTAAAAATGACTCAAACAGGTTTTCTATCATCAAAAAGTTGAATTACATGCAATTTCCAATAGCAACTAAATTTTTAGCCTTGCTCTTTGTCATAATTAAATGCTAGAATAAATTATATTCTTTAAAAAAAAATACCTTTGGTTTCTTCTACAGCAAGTTTATCACAAATCTGCTTTTCATAGGTACAAAGGTGATCCAGGGCTTCTCTATAGAGTCCTGCTTCCCGAAGAACTTGATTTTGATATAAAAGGAGTTCACTATATTCATAATCCACTTTATCGGGGGATGTCTATGTATGGATATAAGGAATATTAAGTTAAGAATTTTGTTTTTATATTAGAAAATTGTTTATACAATCAAATACATACAAGAAGTCTAAGGATACAATCTGATTGATAAAACTAATTTTTTTAAATTAGTAAGGATCTGTATAGGGAACAATTAAGTAAATAATGATAGTAATAACTTATAACCCACTGACTTAAGAATCCCTAAGTCCTTACATATAATAAATAAATAGGGGGAAAGGAAAGCTCTTATTTAATAGCAGAATGTCAAATAATAAATCTAGAAGGAATAAGAATAATCACCACTTTGTAACTATCACTGAAACAGTTGACTCAAGCAAGAATCATAATCAATAAATGCTAAAACTAGTGGATAAATGTAAACTTTGATGAACAGGCTACCCCATAAAATCTTGAATTGTCTATTAACACAAAGAAAAAAAATAACAAAGAAAAAATAAATTTATAGTGAAGAAACCTATACAAGATACTACCTTATCTAAGTGATCAAATAGAACAGACAGACATTTTGTGCCTCTTAATGTGATGAGCTGAAGAAGGGCTCAACAACACTCTGTGGTTTCCTTCCAAAAATACATAACTATAACTAAATTATGAGGAACCACCAAACAAATTCAAATGGATGAACATTCTACAAAAAAGCAATAACCTATATTCTTCAGAAATATCAATGTCATGAAGTACAAAGGAAGTCTTCAAAACTTCCAAAGATTTAAGAGACCAAAAAGAAAACATAAGCAAATGTAAAATATGATTCTAAACTAGATCCTAAAATGGGAAAAGAAAAATCTAGAAAGAATATAAACAATTGATAAATGGGCTAGAGATTAGATAGTCTATCAATGTTAAGTTTCTTAAGTTTTAAATACTCTACACAGTACCATCCTATAGAGTTCACAACTATAGGGTTATTCTTAGGAAATACTACATAGAAACATTTAGGAGTCAAAGAGCATTGTGTCTGCAAGTACTCACAAATGTTTTTAGAAGAAAGTAAACAGATAAATAGATATAGAGATTATAAGATAAATTTGTTAAATATTAAATTAGTAAAGTGTAAACTCCTCTAGGAAGTTCTTTGCATACTATTCTTACACACTTCTTTCTTTTAGGTATATTTACAACTGGGCCTAGTTTACTAGGTCTGGCTTCTGAGTGTTACCTGTTGTGTTTTCCTAAACTCTTCTAAAATCTTTGCTGCCATTTCATAATCTTCTAATAAGTGGTAAGCAATAGCGTAACCAATCCATGATGCTCTCTGGGCAGGTCGAAGCTGAAGTAATTGATATCTTGTTTCCTTCAAGGCAGGGGGAAAAAACTTTTTCTTAGGTTTACAGTGAAAGCATACGCTTCTTAAAATATCATATTAATTTCCCCACAACACTGAGCAATTTGCAACACAATGCAGGGAATAATATCAGAAAACAGTTTCAAATATCCATATTGTATAGCTTTACAGAAGCAAAAAAATATTTCTTAAGAAGCACAATGAAGCCCTAGCCTATGTAGCTCAGTTGGCTGAAGCAATGTCCAGTGAACAGAAAGGTCACAGGTTCAATTCCTGGTCAGGTCACATACCCAGGTTGCAGGTTCAATTCCAGATCTGATCTGGGTGCATACAGGAGGCAATTAATGTTTCTCTCTCTCTCTCTCTTTCTCTCTCTCTCTCTCTCTCCTTTTACTCTTCCTCTCTCTAAAGTCAATTTAAAAAAAACATATTCTCAGCTAAGTATTTTAAAAAGGGTACAGTAAAGCCTCCAAGGTAATCTTGTAATTTAAAAAAAAAAAAAAAAAAGTTATAACTAGGTACTCATCATTATTTCCTGATTAGCTCTAAGAAAAGACAGATGGGAAAGATAGTACAAAGGAAAAACATTTTTAAAGAAAATACAAAGCACAACTATTGAATTAAGATCTATAGAAAACAACTCAGCCGGTACTACTGGGGGGAAAAGAAACAAAATTATCTAATTTATAGAATGTTTAAGAATTAAAATGTAGCTACAAAGACAGAATGTTAGTTTCAATGAGGGTAAAAATAAACAAAAAAAATTTGCTTCCCAGAAAAATGTAACTAATATTTAAATGCTAATAGCAGACAAAGGCATTGCCTATGTGAGGAATATTGTTAATTTTTACTGATTTGATTAACTAAATTTTAATTAACTAATCTAACTGCATCAAAGTAAAATAATTTATTTTTAAAATCTGAATAGTCCAGTCACTAACACAATCACTGCTGGGGGAAGGTGTAAGATTTAATTAAATTCTTTTTTAAAATGGAAGATTTTGTTATTAGAAAGTACTCAAAAAAAGGTTTATATTTTAACAGTATTTTCTCCTAGAATAAAATACATTCTCTATTTCACTTACCCTGTAACCCTCAAGATCTCGCATTTGAATCTGTAGTAAAGAAAGGTCCCTTAAGATTTGAAGATTGTCTTTATCCCATTTTAGCGCATTTCTGTAACACTTAATGGCTTCATCGTATTTCTTGTCTGACCTCTGGAGAAGGCCATAAACATGCCAACCTAAAAGAATTAGTTAAGGATACAACCTAAAGGACTTAGTTAAGCCAAGAAATAGTATTCTAATAATATGCCCCAGGAAACACAGAGAACTATAGCTATTTATAAAATTACAAGCATTAAATAAAAGGGAGATAATATAAAGATAGAATAGTTTAATACAATGGAAAACAGTACAGCTTTTCAAACCAGAGCAAACAGGTCTAGCCTGCCTTGTTAGCTCTATGACCTTCGATAAATTATTTAATCTGGCCATGTTTCCTCAATTATAAAATGTAAATAGAAAGTCGATAAAGCAAAGGATTAGTTTGGTGATTAATTGGAATAACATATAAAGTGCTCACTGGCTGGCATCTAATGCTCAATAAATATTAGCTAATATCTAAAGAAAAAAGAGGGATGGGTATTCACAACAAACAATTTTTTGATTATGTATATTTTCTTTTTTTTAGCTAACATGGTCCTCAGAAGAAAACTCTTAGTGCAGAACAAAGTTCCTAAAAAATTAACCACATATAAAATAAAAATATTCATTCCACATATATTAAAATGTCTTAATAATTAGGGTGGTAGATGACCCAAATGGGCAGTCTCCTGCATGCAAAGAACTTAAAGAGTCTAATAAGAAACATATATACAGCCGAAACCGGTTTGGCTCAGTGGATAGAGCGTCGGCCTGCGGACTCAACGGTCCAGGGTTCGATTCTGGTCAAGGGCATATACCTTGGTTGCAGGCACATCCCCAGTAGGGGGTGTGCAAGAGGCAGCTGATCGATGATTCTCTCTCATCGATGTTTCTATCTCTCTATCCCTCTCTCTTCCTCTCTGTAAAAAGTCAATAAAATGTATTTTTAAAAATTGTAATTTAATAACTTTTATAGCAAGGATTTTCAAGAACAGTAAAATATAGAATATCTAGGTTGGCATGTTTAGCTAAAAATACGTATATATTTAAAATTAAAATTTACTTGAAAAATAATCTTTTCATAATATGAATGACAAAGTAAAGCTTAAAAAAATCTTCTGTTGACTGGAACATGGTTCTGAAAAGCCTAAAACACACTACTCTTTATAATCTGCCCCCATTATCTACCTTTCCATTCTTCCCCATTTGAATCACCTCTTGAGCACTGTAACACCTTTTAACTGCCTTTAATCTTTACCTCCTAAATATTTACTGTCAAGGAGTCTTATGTCCACCAAGAGGAATCCAATTATATAAACCATGGCAAATAACATATAGAACACTATGCAATCATTAAAAATTATAAAAAGATATCTATTGTACAATAATCTGATTAATTAATATTTACTTACCTTTTAGTTTCTGGTTATTCACAACTCACTTTTTTTTTTTTTTACTGAAATTGTGATATTTTTTTTAAAATATATTTTTATTGATTTCAGAGAGGAAGAGAGAGGGAGAGTTAGAAACATCAAAGAATGAGAGAGAATCACTGATCGGCTGCCTCCTGCAGGCCCCCTATTAGGGATAGAGACTGCAACCTGGACATGTGCCCTTGGCCAGAATCGAACATGGGACCCTTCTGTCCCCAGACAATGCTTTATCCACTGAGCCAAACCAGCCAGGGCTGAAATTGTGATAATTTTTCAACATGAACTAACATTTCATATAATACTCAGAAATGTTCTGTATACGCTTAGGATGAATATAAATTAATCCCTTTCCTTTCTTAATCTGTACTATGCCAAAGGCCTGGTAAACATGTGAAAATCTGCTAAGTATTTCAGCACTTAAAATTGTGTTTGCCCACAAAATAGGCAGGAAAATATTTGTTTAAAAATGACTTAAAAAATAGCAAGCCACAATCTTTCCTTCGATGTTCCCTCAGACATTTGTACTTGCTGCTACTCTCATATTTCCCTTACTAAAATAAAATTTATCTAGCATAGTAATTAGCAGTACCAGGGACTTTGTTAAAATTTATCTAGCATAGTAATTAGCAGTACCAGGGACTTTGATAAGCATCATTATATCTTTACAACACCACAGTAAGGTGGTTCTGATTACTCTCATTTTACGCATAAGGAAACTAAACCCTAAGATCACAACCAGAAAGAAGGAGAGCTGGGATTCAAATCTAAGTGAAGTACACTCCTAAACCTATGCTCTTAATCAGTGCTCTATATGGCCTCTAATATTCCTTAGTGTACACCCTTCTTTGTCATCATGACAAGGTCTGTGGGGTGCCTTCTTTTTGAAGCATGGGAAGAGTTTTCATAGATACTTTAAAAAGGCAAGTCCATTAATCTGTAAATAGATACATTAGAACATAGTAGATATGTAAAAGTGTTCACTGAATGAAGGTAGTTGCTACTCCTCTGGAGTTACATGGTAAGAGGAATATAAAACTGCTGATTCCCAAACTACTTATTGCCTTAGCTCAAGAACCCAAATCCAATCTTTATATATATATATCTCAAAAAGGATACACACATGACTCTTCAAGTCATTTCTCAAACCTCTACGAACCAATTCATAAGCTTCTTCCTTTTTACCCAAACAGTTCAATGTTAATCCTTTCATAGCCAGAGTTTCTATTAAAAAATAAAAAGTAGAAAAAGAAAATCAAACATTTAAAATAGTTAACAACAAAAAAGATAACCATAATCTCAAAGACAAAATGTTACGTTACCCTAAGAACTGAAGATTAGGAAATTTTCCAGGTTTGCACAGAATTAAAATATTTTAAAAATCGACAAACCACATTTCTGTACTCTAGGCATCCCTATATATCGGGTCTAGTAATAATTAATGTCGTTTTTAAACATTCGTTTAAAATCTTGCTTGGCGTTGACTTGTATTGACATAACCTTCAAACACGTGGTATCTACAGAACGTGTGAAGTGCAATTAACAAGTTTTGCTTGAAAAAGTTTGTGTTTGGTTTGGTTTTTGTTGCAAAACTAGGGCTAAGAAGATGGCGGATGAAGAGCATATTCGGCACTGCATGCTTTACGAGTTCCAATTAGGAAGAAAAGCAAGTGAGGCTGCAAAAAACATCTGTAGTGCTCTTGGTCAAGATGCAGTTAGCGCCAGAAAATGCCAGCGTTGGTTTGAGAAATTTCGCGAGGGAAATTTTTCGTTAGATGACAAGAGTGGTCGAGGCCGTGTGTCCAATTTTGATCAAGAAGCTCTTCAAGCTCTTTTGGTGCAAAATCCTCAAATTACCCAACAAGAGCTTGCGACAACTTTAAATTGTTCACAAAAAACAATTTCCAATCAATTGCGTGCACTTGGCAAAGTCCAAAAGTTTGGAAAATGGGTTCCTCATGAGTTGACCGACAACAACTGTAATCAAAAGAGTCACAATTTGCAGTTCGCTCCTCTCTCGTCAAAACCGTTTGCCGTTTTTAGAGCAAATTGTTACCAGAGATGAAGAATGGGTGCTGTATGTTAATTTGAAAAGGCGGCCTCAATGGTTGGACAAAAACGAGGCTCCGCAGCCCACGCCAAAACCTGACTTGCATGCGAAAAAAGTGATGTTGTGTGTTTGGTGGAATTTTAAAGGAATTCTTCATTATGAACTTTTACCATCTAACCAAACCATTACAAGTGCAGTGTATAGTGCCCAATTGGAAAGGTTAGCCCAAGCTTTAAGAGAAAAAGAACCCGCGCTGATTAATCGGAAGGGCGTAATTCTTCACCACGATAACGCACGACCGCATACTGCAAGAATCACTGCTGAAAAACTGTGCCAGTTGGAATGGGAAGTTCTGCCTCAACCTGCATATTCTCCTGATATTGCCCCTTCCGATTACCATTTGTTTCGTTCTTTGCAAAACTTTCTTCTTGGAAAAAAATTTAATAATGAAGAATGCCTCAAAAATGCATTGACCGAATTTTTTGCATCAAAATCACAAGAATTTTACAACAGAGGGATTAAAATGCTTCCTGAGCGTTGGGCACAAGTAGTAGAAAACAATGGCAACTATATTGTTGATTAAATTTTGTTGTATTGTTTAAATAAATTCGATTTTAAAAAGTATTAGAAAACGACATTAATTATTACTAGACCTAATATTTTTTTTTTTTAGATGAAAGGTACAAAATGCATTAATATCTGGAAATTCATATGCTAACAAGATATAACAGTAATAACTATTCTTCAGGGAAATTCTATAGAGTGACCTTATATAATTATTCCTTTAAAGCACATGTATCAAACACAAGGCCCGCGGGCCAAATCCGTCCCGCCAGGCCTTGCAATGTGGCCCACACCGCGCTGTCATCACTGCACTCCGCTGCGTTTCCATCATAATGACAGTTTATGACTGTTCAGTAAACCATTCGGCCCGCGATTTAGGCTGGATTTTAGATTTTGGCCCCTTCTCTGATTGAGTTCGACACCCCTACTTTAAAGTATGAAAAACTTTTCACAAAACAGGCTTTACTTCTTTGAACCCAAATTAGAGATTAAAATCATTGCTCAATGCTTAAAATATACACATAAATTATATACTTACACATTTCAGATTTGCATAAATTTCATTCTTTTACAATGATTCTTGAGGATATTATTTAATATAAAAGTAAAAGTTAGCAGACTCCTGTCACTCACAATGAATAAATTAAAAGAAAGAGTTGAGCCCAAGCCAGTTTGGCTTAGTGGATACAGTCAGCCTGCGGACTGAAGTGTCCCAGGTTCCATCCCTGGCCTTGACCCCAGTAGGGGTGTGTGTGGGAGGCAACCAATCGATATGTATCTCTCTTCATTCACTCTCTCTAAAAATCAATGAAAAAATATCCTCGGGTGAGAATTAATGAAAAAATAAAAATAAAATAAATATAAGAGGAAGTTGAGGGCAACATGAATATTTTAGAAAAGGGAAAAAAATTAATTTTATAATATATATTTTATGATGTAAAAAAGAATAAAAATATTCATTATAATGTATTTGCCTAACTTTCAGAACTAAAATTTAGAATTTATAGAAAAATTATGTAGGAATAAAAGATAATATGGTTCAAAAGGAAAAACATTTATAGGAAAGTACAGATAAATAAAAGCAAAAAAGAGGGGAAAAATCATGTACTAAATTGTTATAAATCATCCTATATAACAAAAGGTTAACATGCAAATCAACCAAATAGTGGAATAACCGGTCACTATGACATGCGTTGACCACCAGGGGGCAGATGCTCAATGCAGGAGCTGCCCCCTGGTGGTCAGTGAGCTTCCACAGGGGAAGCGCTGCTCAGCCAGAAGCCGGGTTCACAACTGCCAAGTGCAGTGGTGGTGGCAGGAGCCTCTCCCATCTCTGTGGCAGCACTAGGGATGTACGACTATAGGGGAGTAGGCCTAAGCTGTCAGTTAGACATCCCCTGAGGGCTCCCAGGCTGGAAGAAGGTGCAGGCCAGGCTGGGGTACTGAGGTACCCCCCTCCCCACTCAATGCACAAATTTCATACACCAAGCCTCTAGTGCTGTACGCTTTTCTAAATGAAAAGAAAGCAAACAAATATATTTGGCAAGGTACTGTAAAAAGTAACCCTTTGTTATCAAACAAGTAAAATGTATTCTTACAAGTTTTACTAAACATCTTAAAAGTTCCTTAATTAATGGAGCCCCAGGTTGCCATTACGTTTACGACAAACCATTATTTTATGAATGTTAAAAAATATTTTCAGGGGGCTGGGAAGGGGTGGGGGATGAGAATAGGGGAATGAGGGCAAATATGTGATACCTTAATAAAGAAATTTAAAAATATATATTTTCAATTAAATTACAATCCTTCATATGCAACCTGATTTCAGGTATGTTAAAATATGAGAAACTGAACTTTAGAACATTGAAATTTGATCTCTGCTATATTGAAATTCTATTATTACATTACTAAAAGTTATATGAGCAGTATGCATACTTTAGAAAAAATGTAAACTACCTAATATCCATCTGGCCAGCAAAAAAATATTTTTAACATTAAAAAACTTTTAGCCTTAGCTGGTTTGGCTCAGTGAACAGAGCGTCAGCCTGCAGACCCAAGGGACCCCAGGCTTGATTCCAGTCAAGGGCATGTGCCTCAGTTGCAGGCTCCTCCTGGGCCTCGGCGCTGGTCAGAATGCTTGCAGGAGGCAAGTAATTGATGTGTTTCTCTCACATGAATATTTCCCTCTGTATTTCCCTCTCTCTTCTACTCTCTCTAAAATCAATGGAAAAATATTCTCGGATGAGGATTAAAAAAAAAAAAAGGAAGAAAACAGTGCTCTTAATTTAATAAAAGTAAAGAAAACTAATAGAAAACTATTACTCTCTCTCCAATAGTGAGAAAACTATCAAATTAATTACCAAAGAGCCATGTTTCCTAACTATACAACTCTGACCTGTGAAAGCTTATTTTTCCATTGCCTCATCACAAGTTTAGCTAAACACTCTTCCCTTTCTCTACAAATATCTCACTGTCCAATCTTCTACCCTCACATATGCGAAAACTAAAAGGCAAAAAAAATTTTAGAACATTATAATATACAAATCGTGCATTAAATATGACTGTCTGGAAAAACTAATTAAGATATAATGCTAAATAAAAAGACGCTGAGAACAAATGGGCACTTTCTGAATAAGGAATAAAGTTCCCCAGCTCAAAATTCTAAAGCAAATTTTTCTTATAACATCTTAAATTAATTTAATGATTCAACTTAAATAAGCATATTTATTCCACTAGATGCTTCTGCCTCCCCTGCCATGCTTATTCTCAAAATAGATAAGTCAGAACTCAAATAAAATGTGTGTATCATTTTCTTGACACTAAATTCAAAAAAACAAACGTCAAGGATAAGAAAGTCCATTCTCTCTGGAAATTAAGGCATCTGAGAGTGATAGAACCCAAATAAATGAAGCCAGATAAGTAAGCAAAGCCTTGTCTATTTATATTAACAAGTAAGCATATGATATTTACACTTACCTCCATGCTCTGCAAATTTGGGATTAGAGAGGATTTGTTTACAGAATTTCAACCCATTTCTATACTGTTTATGCTCATAACATCTCTGTCAAAGAAAAAAAAAAATCAACTTTAGCAAGAAATGTAAAATGTCAATTAGACGCTAAATTTTTTATTCTGTAACACACATTAGAATATCAAAGATTATTTCCATATTCTCTTATGTCCCAGTAAAAAAAAATACAGAAGGTTCAAATACAGAAAGTAAAACAAAAGAGCAAAATATAGATTAGAAAAAATAAAATCATTAGCTCACTTCAAAGGTCCAACAATTATTATATAAAGTGAAATCTGAAAAGAAAGAAAAAAAAGTAAAAGCGCAGAAATTTTACATTTCAAAATAAATTTTCTTTTTAACTAAAGGAAAGAAGTCTCTCAAGCTGCAAAGGGACAAACAAGTGTGTGCAAAGTAATAAAGAAGAAAAAGGATAAAGACCCACCCTATAAAACATCATAATGTAATTTCAAATCCCAAAAAGAAAAGGTCCTTAAAAACTTCCAGAGAAAGAGAAGGAAAATAACAAACATAGGATGATCTGTAATCATAATGGCACCTAACTTTTATTCCATAGTAGTAGTGCAATATTGCTGAAAGCCAGAAAACTATACACAGCCTTCAAAATTCAGTGGAAAATAAGTTTCAATCTAGAATTCTATTCCCAGCCAAATTAGCAATCAACTATATGAGCAATGTGACATTTTAAAGCTTCTCAGAAAGTTAAAATTTTATTTCTATGTATTCTTCCTTTAAAAAGCTTATTAAAAAGACTCAAAATAAATTCAACAAGACAAAATGAAAGTTAGTAACTAAGGAATCTAATGCAGAAAAAAGAACTAGAGAACAACAACTCCAAAATGAAACAGGAAGCCAAAGGACACCATGGAAGGGCAAAATTGGAACTAATATACTTCATAATATGGAAAATAGTATTTATATGTACATTTCAGCAGTACAGGCACATTTCGGGGGAAAGTAACAGGTCTACAGAAAACCAGACAACTGCCCAGCTGGTGTGACTCAATGGTTGAGCAACCAGGTCATGGTTTGATTCCCCAGTTAGGACACATGCCCAGTTTACAGGCTAGATCCCCAGAGTGGGGCATGCAGGAGGCAGGCAATCAATGATTCTCTCTCATTGATGTTTCTTTATCTCCCTCTCCCTCTCCCCTCCTCTCTAAAGTCAATTAACAAAAGGAAAGAAAACCAGATAACTGCATAAATGAGATAGGAATTAACTCCAGGAGAAAAGCTTATATAAGGAAGAAGTGTGATCTTATTGTAATTACTAGTAGCCCTGTACATGAATCCGTGCATCAGTAGTTCTCTGTGTGGCCTGGCCACTCCACACCTGCTGCCCAGAGGCCCATCAGTGCCCCAGTCTGGCCAGAGGTCCATCTGCAGCCAGGCAGAATGCTTGCCTTGTCATGGCAGCGACAAAGCAAGCATTCCGCCAGGCCGCTCACGCTGCCCGCTCTCAGCAGCCACCTCCCCTGACCCTCCCCAGTACTGGGGGACTTCAGCGGGGCTGAGAAGACTGGGCACTGCCATCTTGTGGCTATGGACATCACCATATTTGTGTCAAAGTAATGATTAATTTGCATATTGTCCTTTTATTAGATAGGACTAGAAGCCCAGGGCACAAAATTCATGCATGGGATGGGGTGGGATGGGTGCGTCCCTCAGTCCAGCCTGCACCCTCTCCAATTTGGGACCCCTTGAAGGATGTCCGACTGCCCATTTAGGCCCGATCCCGGTGGCAGTCAGACATCCCTTTCACAATCCAGGACTGCTGGTTCCCGACTGCTTGCCTGCCTGCCTGCCTGATTGCCCCTAACTGCTTCTGCCTGCCAGCCTTATCACCCCCTAACCATGCCCCTGCCAGTCTGATCAATGCCTAACTGCTCCCCTGCCGGCCCAGTTCCCCCCAACTGCCCTCCCCTGCCGGCCTGGTCACCCTATTGCCCTCTCTTGCCAGCCTGGTCACCCCTAACTGCAATCCCCTGCTGGCCTGGTTGCCCCAACTGCCCTCCCCTGCAGGCCTGGTCACCCCCAGTTGACCTCCCCTGCAGGCCTGGTTGCCCCTAACTGCCCTCCCCTGCCAGCCATCTTGTGTTCACATGGAGGCAGCCATCTTGTATCTTGGAGTGATGCTCAATTTACATATTACCTCTTTATTATATAGAATTTGGCTTAACAGTGAACAACACATACATGATCATAAAGATGTAAATATTAAGTACTAATTTACTGAAATATTGTGATATGAGGTAATGAGGAAAAGGAAAGAAGGAAAACATGGTAATAATGTGGTTCTAAGTACTCATTTTCCATAACCAAAGTCAGCAAATGTCTAAAAGTCATTTATCACCTTGGCTGGTGAGGGTCAGTAGTTATAGCATCAAACAGCACCCAGAGGGGTTGTGGGTTCATATCACAATCACGGAGGTACCTATCTATGTTGTAGGTTCAATCCAGAACCCTGAGGCAAATGATTGATTTATCTCTCTCATATCAATAGCTCTCCCTCTCACTCTTCTTGTCCTTCCCTCCCACCCTCCACTGTCTCTAAAAATCAATGAAAAAAAATATCCTCGGGTGAGGATTAACCACCACAAAAAAAAAGTCATGTATCATTAAATAGTGACTTATTGTTAAACAAAAGAAAGCAAATACCAGATAAAATGGCTAGGACTGAGGGTGCTTGGTGGGAGGAATTACCTTTTCTTTTCTTTTTTATCATTTGATTTTTAGGTATCAACATGTGATTTCATAATAATTATTTTTTTAAATCACTGTATGAAAAAACAACACAAAACCTGCATCTAAAAGATATTCAGTGTCATAAATTTTACTTACAACTTTGGAAATAATATATTTAAAATCTGGGGGGGATAATTAATGCAAAAGATGACAAGATGATAGAATGTGTAGTAACGTTTTACATGTAGCATCAAGAAACCAGTTGTTTACAGCTCAATACTACAGCCAACTATAGTTGTTCTATACCAACTATGTACTCACCGTCTTGTTTGGTTGTTTTTTCACATCTCAAACTTAACATATCCCAAACACAACTGATTTCACCCCAAAATCTATTCTTCACCAAGTCTTTTCCATTTTGCATATACTTTCCCCTCAATTCATCCTACCAGATGATGATTAAAAAACACACACACAAAAAAAAAAACTATCCTTGGTCCTTTCTTTCCATCATAATTCCATCCTCTAGTTAAGGAGTGAGGAAACTTTTTTTCTGCCAAGGGCCATTTGGATATTTATAACATAATTCTCAGGCCATACAAAATTAACAACTTGAAAATTAGCCTGCTATACTTGGTCAAACATTTAATTAACTCACCCCTAATTCCTTGGCAGGGCCAGATCAAATGAATCCACAGGCCAGAGGTACCCCACCCCTGATCTAGTAGGTCCATCAGTCCCAGTTTCTCTGCAAATGCTTCCTAACTCTCTGCCCCTCCCATAGTCAACAGCACTCAGCAGGCTGAATGACCTGGGAGATAAGAGGAAGAGGAAGGGGAGAACAAAAGTTATAACTTGGGAGTTGTTAACAAATATATGTAACCAAGAAAACACAAGACTAAGCAAGTAAACTTAGTGTTCCTATTTACTTAGCAGAAGGCTTAAAAATAACATTTTTCTTATCTAATGTATAAAAGCCTAAACAACAGAACAATAGGTCAACCAGTTGCTATGACATGCACTGACCACCAGGAGGCAGATCTCAACACAGGAGCTGCCCTCTGGTGGTCAGTGTACTCCCACAGTGGGAGCACCACTTAGCTAACTGACAGGTGCCAGACACAGGGCTCATGGCTGGCGTCACTGTGGAGATGCAAGCCTCTTCCAATCAGGACTGACTGGGCACAAGCCCACAGCAGGTGCAGTGGGGCTGGAATGAGTTAGAGCAGCAGGCGGCATTGGACTGCCAGTTTCGGCTTGATCTCTGCAGGCCACGTTGAGGGATCCAATCAGTGCATGAACCCACAAATCAGGCCTCTAGTCTACACTAATAAAAGAAAAATGGCCGAAACCGGTTTGGCTCAGTGGATAGAGCGTCGGCCTGTGGACTGAAAGGTCCCAGGTTCGATTCCAGTCAAGGGCATGTACCTTGGTTGCGGGCACATTCCCAGTGGGGGTGTACAAGAGGCAGCAGATCAATGATTCTCTCTCATTGATGTTTCCAACTCTCTATCCCTCTCTCTTCATCTCTGTAAAAAATCAATAAAATATATATATTTTTTTAAAAGAAAGAAAAACATGCAAATTGACCATCCCTCCACTACGCCCAACATACAATCAGGAGCGAGTATGCAAACTAATCCAACAAAGATGTCAGTTAATTTGCCTATGCAGGCAGGGGCAGATCGAAGACTGAAGACAGTGTAGAAGGAAGCCAAGCGCTGTATAAGGGAGGGAGCAAGGCAGCGGAGATGGGAGTGAGGCAGCGGAGATGGGAGTGAGGCAGCGGAGATGAGAGTGAGGCAGCGGAAAGGCCACAGGAAGCCCTATTCTCTTTTTAAAAAGATATATTTTATTAACTTTTTACAGAGAGGAAGGGAGAGGGATAGAAAGTTAGAAATATCATACGGGCTCAGAAGGAAGGCTGCGCCATCTTACCAAGTGTTAGAAATATCGATCAGCTCCTCCTACATGCCCCCTACTGGGGATGTGCCTGCAACCAAGGTACATGCCCTTGACTGAAATCAAACCCAGGACCCTTCAATCCACAGGCAGACACTCTATCCACTGAGCCAAACCAGCTAGGGCGGAAACCCTATTCTTGTAGGAATCTTCCTGTAACTGGCCTCTAATATAATTATAACAACAACAGTAAAAAGCATTAAAGGAAACTATGATATAAAGACCAGGCTAGTTAAAAGGGTCACTTAATTTGTCACATTTTCCAGGAAAAACCTACATACAATGAAAGTTTAAGTGCACTATTCTTAAAACCCTCAATTAGCTTTCTAAAAACTTACTTGTGTAAAATGTATTAAAAGAACTACTACTTTTGGCCATGATGG